GTGCGAGGGGGGCAGCTGAGGCCAGCAGGCAACAGCTGGGCCCCAGACGGCGGGCGGCAGCTGGAGCCCAGAGCGGCCGCCCTCGGCCTCGGGGCCCACGAGGGGCCCCAGGAGGGAGTGGCCATGTGGCATGGGGCCGCTCTGTGTCCAGTCAATGGCCCTGGGTCCAGGGCGGCTGCACGTCCCAACGTTGAAGGCCAGGTGACCAGCCTGTCAGGTCTTGAGCGGGGTCCCCAGTGGGGCCCCTGCTCACTGACCACCCTCCCCGGTCCTCTGCCCCCGCCCCCAGAGCCCTCCGGCTGGCCGGGCCGCCAGTCCACGCCAGCTCAGGCCCTCGCCCTTGTTCCTGAGATGCGCCATTTCCGACGCCTTTTCCCAGGGCTCGCGCCCGAGTCCGCGAAGGCCGCAGCTCCTGGTGGTGAGCTCTGCGCGCCTCGCGGACCCCGGCCCCTCCCCCACAGCCTCCTCCGCAGAAGAGCAGCCCCTGCTCCCCCTAAAGAGGCAGGTGCCCCTCTGGGCTCTCACATCCCTGGGCTCCCTTGGAACTAGGCCAGCACGGGGCCTAAGCTCGGCCAGAGGCACCTGCCGCCCACCTGAGCGGGAACTGGGAAGCAGAGAGGAGGGACGATGCAGAGTCTACGGTGGATGTGGCCGTAGGGGCAGGGGAGGGGTCGGGCAGGGAAGACCAGGTCCCACGCCCGGCGTCCCAGGTCTCTGTGGCCCCCTGGAGTCCTGCAGCAAGGCAGCTTGGGCCCTAGTTCCTGCGCCTCCTCCCAAGCCTGGGACCCTACCCTCCGGACATTCCGCGAGGCCCCTGTGCCGGAACCTGAGGCTGCCTGGGGCCCTGAGGGGTGGGCCAGAGCCCCCGAGAGCGGTATCATCACTTACCACCTGCTCACGGCCCCTGCACAGCCTGCCTCACTGCCTGGTCCCACGACCGGTGAAGGCAGGCACAGATGGTGAAACCGAGGCTCGGGGCCCAGCCCCGGGCCGGCAGGGGCCGAGCCAGGCCACGGGTGCAGGAGTCGGGCAAGGCCGCACCCCCCATGTGCGCCCCGCAGGTATCTGTCCAATGAGCCAATGGGGGCGCCGCGCACTTCCGGATGGGAGGAGGGTTTCCAGAGCTCCACCTGCCCCCCCAGCGCCCCCAGCACTCCCTTCTGCTGCCCCGCCACCCGCACCTGCGGCCCAGCGCCCGGCCTGCTGACCGCTGCCGGTCCGCTCATCTCGCCCTACCGGTGCTTTGGGGGTTTTTAGAGTTAAATTTACATAACATAAAACCACCCACTGTGAAGTGTGCGATTCCAAGGCGTTTCGTATGTTCACGATGTCGTGCAACCACCACCACGGCCAACTGTGGAGTGTTTTCATCACCCCATAAAGGAGCCCTGTGCCCGTCAGCAGCCGCCTCCCCGCTCTCGCGGTGCCCCGGCCACCGGCAGCCTGCGTCCCGCCTCTGTGGGTCTGCCCATCCCGGATGTTCCGTAGGAGCGGGGCCGGGCAGTGTGCAGCCTTGGGGGGCCGGAGCGCTTCGCTCAGCTGAGTGCCTCTCGGGCCGGCCCCTGCCGGGGCCCGGGTCCGAGCTCACCCTCTTCACGGCCGAGGGCTGCTCCCCGGTGAGGGCGGGCCCCGTCGTGTGGACCTGCTTCACCGCCGGTGGATGCCGGGGTTTTCTGCCTTTTGGTGGTTGTGAATAGGGACACTATGAACGTTCACATACATGCTTTTGTTTGAACACCTGTTTTTAATTCTTTTGAGGATACACTTTGGAGGGACGGCTGGGTCATGTGATAACTCCATTTAACTGTTTGGGGACCCGCCAGACGGTGCCCCACGACAGCCGCACCATCTCGCCCCCACCCACAGTGCACGCGCGTTCCCACGTCTCCACGCCCTCGCCGACACTCGGGAGTCTCCGTGTCTCGTCCCAGCCACCCCAGGTGGTGCGGGGCGGAACCAGACCCTCTGCTGTTCAGCCCGAGGTCCCCCTCCACCCACATGTCCGGGGCACAGCGCCCACTGTGCTGGGTGCAGGCGGCGTGGGAGCGGAAGAGCGGCTCGAAGGGCCTGCTGTCCCGGAGGGCCTCACCGGACTGCGGGGCCGAGCCCTCTGCGGGAGAGTCAGAGGTGCGGAGGCAGGGCCGGCCCCCGGGAGTCTGCGCCGGGCCGGCCTGTCTGAGTCGAGGGAAGACCCCGCGAGAGCGGCCCGGGCGGCCCAGAGGCTGCCGCTGGAGGGCGAGCAGGGCAGGAGGGCGCGGAGGGCCGGGAGCCTCCGGGAGGCTGGCTTGGAGTGCCTCCTCCTCATCTCTGCTCGCAGCCGTGGCCAAACCCAGACAGGAACTCATCTGGGTCCACTGTGCAGGCTAAATCGCATCACAGCGAACGCCAGGGAACAGAACATGCTCTTCCCCGGGCCCGGCATCTCGCGGGCAGTGAAGCGGCCACCCCGCCGCACGCCGGGCCGAGCACTTTCACGCTTGGGCTCCCATAAGCCCACAACAGCCCTCTGATGGGGGGACGGTCACTGCCCCACTTTAAAGAAGAGGAAGTGGAGGCACAGAGAGAGGTCACGGGCTTGCCCAGGATCCCGGCCGGGAGGTGGCTCCGAGCCAGGTCAGCGTCAAGCACAGCCCTCCGCAGGCAGGCCATCCAGCTGGGAGCAGCGCTTCCCTGCCAGGGACTTGGAATCACAGGCTCCTAGCGCTGGAGGGTCCCTTAGGCAGGTCCCCCCAGTGCCTGGGCCAGCAGGGGTGGGAGGCTGCCTCCCAACGGGGCCTGCGTTTGAAGCTGCCGCCTCTGCGCAGTCCCAAGCAGGGCGTTTAGGCGGGCGCCACCACAGGGGGAGGCCAGTGTGGATTTCTGACGCACAGAGCTCAGCCGCAGAGCCTGTCTCAGCTCCCCCGAGCCTCAGCTCCGCCATCCGGAAAACGGGTGCACGGCTGCCCGAGCATGCCTGTGGAGGGGCCTGCCCACCCACCCCCCTGGAGCAAGCCCGGCCCAGGCCGATCTCTGGGGCACCTCAGACTGACCTGAGGCTTTGAGGGTCACATGCCAGCACCCGCCAGCCCTCAGACGCTCAGAGGGCAGCTTCCCAAGGGCCCTGGTTGGTCTCCCACCGCGACGTCCCAGAGCCCGGCCCGAGCAGCCTGCTGGGTGTGTGCAGGGTGAGTGTTGTAACTTTCTAATCTCAGCTCATCACTCAGTGCTCAGGGCCAAAGGGGCCCGGACGGACTACAAAGGCAGGGGCCGGGCCCAGCTGCAGCCAGAGCCCCTGGCAGCCTGCGATCTCCTGGCCTTCAGGGGGCACAGCCTGCCCGCTGCCCTGAATCGGGAGGGGGCTCCGGGATACCCGTCCCAGGTCTAGACTCCATCCCAAAGGTAAGACCTGTTTCCTGTCTTTAAAAAGGGTGTAGTGACGCCCAGCAGGCTGCAGACGGCAGGGGGACAGGCAGGCGTCTGCCAGGGCTGCTGCTGACACTGTCTTGGGGGCGGGGGGAGGCCGCGGGCGGGGGATAAATGATTTTCTGTGCTTTGTCTCCCCACCCACCGGACAGAAATCTCCTTGGTAAACACCTGCCCCCCCCCCCATTTTGATCCCTGACAAGGAGCTTCCTCCGGCCGGGGTGAGCTGGGCTGGAAAGGTGAGACCACGGTCAGACACAATGGTTAGTGGAGGCCACTGAGCTGAGACCAAGCCTGCAGCTCTTCCACTGCAGCACCCCCTGCCCCAAGAGCTACAGGGAAGGGAGAGGCTTGGGGGTTCCGAGAGGGAGCGCTGCAGTCTGGGCGCCCGCGGGAAGATCCAGAACCCCGCCCGAGGCCCAGCGACCTCGGCAGATGGCAGCGCCCCCTCTGGCCCCAGTGCCTCCGCGGGCGGCCCAGAATCTGTCCAGCCAGGCGCGGGGCAGGGCGAACCCTCCTCGGCGCCGCGGAGGGCGCCCGGTCCCTCCCGCATGTCCCCGCGGGCGCCGGGCCTCGGGCCACACCTGCCCGCTCCTCCAGGAGGCCCGGGCGCGCTGCAGACGGCCCCAAACGCGGAGCCTGTGTCCGCCGTCGCTTTGATCCCGGGGCCCCGCTGGATAAAAGTCCCGGGCGGCTCTGCGCCAGCGCTAGAGAGGGAGGCAGCCGAGCCGCGCGCACCAGCGGGCTGGCGCTGCGGGGCGAGCGACGCCGAGAAGCCCGGGCAGCGGGCCGCGGTGAGCGGGGTTTTCCGGGCCCGCTCGAGGAGGGGGTGAGGGCGCCCAGCAGCTACACCCCGGGCCTGGGCAGCGAGGGCGAGGGGCGGCTCAGGTGAGCGCACCCGCCCTGCGCCCCCAGCCCGTCGGGCTCGGGCCGCTGAGCGGCGGGCGGAGTGCCCCCGGCGCGGAAAAGCCCGGCTCCCTCCCCGCCGCCACCCTCGCCGCGCCCCCTTCCAGCTGTCCCGGGGGCGGGGGCAGCGGCGCCGGGCTGGCCGCGGCGAATGGAGCCGCCGGGGCCGCGGGCCGCGCTGCCCCCCACGGAGCCGGGCCGGGAGCGCCTCCGGCGGCCGCGCCGGGGTAGTCCAGGCCCCTCCGTCAGGCTTGCGGTTTGGGAAGAAAAGGCGATGCCTCCGCCAAGAAAAGAGCGAGCGCGGTCCCCTCCCCCTCCGCCGAGCCCGGGCGGCGGCGGCGGCACATCTAACGCGCGGGCACCCGGGCCGCCGCGGCCCCCGCAAACTACGCCCAGGCTCGGCCCACGCCGCTCATTGGCGCGGGCGGGAGCCAGCGCACCCAGACCCAGCGCTGCCCTCGGCCGGCAGCGCGCGGAGCCCCAGCTGCTCCGGCCACGGCGCCTGGCTCCCGTAGCCTCGACGCCGACCTCCTGCGCCTCCTCGGCCCGGCCCAGCGCGGGCAGCTGGGCCAGCCAGCCGGCGCGGCAAGCGCCGCTCAGCCCCGACGCCCCCGGCCCGGCGCCCCCGCCGCCGCCGCCGCCTCACGGCCGTCCGCTCTCTGCAGGTGGCCGCCGGCTGGAGCGGCACGGCCATGGGCCGAGGGGTGCGCGTGCTGCTGCTGCTGGGCCTGCTGCACTGGGCCGGGGGCGGCGAGGGCAGGAAGACCTGGAGACGCCGCGGCCAGCAGCCGCCCCCGCAGCCGTCCCCGCAGCGGGCCGAGGCGGCGCCCGCGGCCGCACAGCCGGTGGAGAGCTTCCCTCTGGACTTCACGGCCGTGGAGGGCAACATGGACAGCTTCATGGCGCAGGTCAAGAGCCTGGCGCAGTCCCTGTACCCCTGCTCAGCGCAGCAGCTCAACGAGGACCTGCGGCTGCACCTTCTGCTCAACACGTCGGTGACTTGCAACGACGGCAGCCCTGCCGGGTAAGGCCGCGCCTGCCCGCCCCAGCCGACCGGCGCGCCCCTGCCGGTGGCCCCCGCGGGGCGCCGGGCCGCCTCGCCGCCTCATCGACAGCGGCGCTGCGCGGCGGCCTCCCCGTCCCCAGGCCGATGCAACGAGCTGCCCTGCTGGACCCTCCTGGGGGCCATGGCCGTTCCCACCCCCGGGGAGAGGGCTCCCCGTCGGGCTCCCGGAGGTGCTGCCCTTGGCAGGGCCGGCTGCCCGCTCTCCGCGCTGGGGCTGAGGCAGCGCTTGAAGCACTGGTCCCCGTCCAGCCCGGGCACTGACCTTTCGGCCACCGGTGCCCAGGCCCTCTGCTCATGTCCTTCGGTCCCTGGGCGGGGAGATGGCCGTCCGCGAGTGGCCCCCGCGCCAACAGGAGGAGGCGACACAGTGGGGCGGGGAGAGCCCTGCCACCCCCACCCCCACCCCCGCTCGGCTCAGGTCGGCTCCCTGCGGCTGCCCAGCTGCCAGGGGTCCCAGCCGGCCGAGGGCCAGGGAGGGGGCGCAGGTGGGACGGAAGGACCGGGGAGCGGCATCCACCCCCCTCCACCCCGGAAAGAGATCGAGACAGAGCGCGAGGCTGAGGGCCGGGAGGAGCTCGGGGAGCCCACGCGCGCCCGCGGTGAGGCGGCAACCCGAGGGACGGCGTGCTAGGTCGGGCCTCGCAGGGAGGCGGCAGCCTGCCGGCCGGTCTCGGCGCTCCGCGCCACGCACACTCCTCCGGCGAGGGCTCTTTGCGCTTTTCCAAGAGCCACGGCACCTCCCAGGAGGATCCCGAGCCCCGCGGAAGACTCCAGCCCCCCTGCCCGGCCGCCGGCGCCGAGGTTGCAGCCGGTCCCGCGCGGGGCGGGCCGTGGGGATTTTCCACGGACCACACAGCCCCTCGCGGCCGGCCCCGCCGCGCGAGCGAGCGCCACCTCCCGGGCCGGGCCGCCTCTGGCCGCCGGTGCGCTCGGCGGGGCCGGCCGCGGGCGCCCCCGCGCGGCCGGCGCGCGCCGGGCGACAGGTGGAATGACCCTTTCCTCCCCGGCCGGGCCTGCCGCGCCGCTGACGCCCGCCGCCCGCCCTTCCCTCCCTTTCAGCTACTACCTAAAGGAATCCAAGGGCAGCCGGCGGTGGCTCCTCTTCCTGGAAGGTGCGTCCCAAGGTCCCGGGAGCGGGGCGGGCAGGGCGCCCCGGGCACGCGAGCCCTGAGTGGTGGTGGCTGTGCCCGCAGGCGGCTGGTACTGTTTTAACCGCGAGAACTGCGACTCCCGCTACAACACGATGCGGCGCCTCATGAGCTCCAGCGACTGGCCGCGCACTCGCACAGGTCAGCGGGCTGCAGGCCGCCCCGGGCGCCTGGGCGGAGGGCGGGCGCGGGCCCCCCCGCCCCGCCCCCGGGGCTCACGGTGGGTGGTCCTGGCTTCACTCCCCGAACCTCAGAGGGGCCCCACCCCGTCCATCTCCCTGGCCCCCTTCTGTGAACTTCCTCAGGTCAGGGGACCCTCACACTCGCCATTGGCTTCTCAGGCACAGGTGGCTTTCCAGCGTTTACTCGCTGCCGCTGCCGAGGGGCGCGGGTCATCCCTGGGTCCAAGCACAGGTGGAGGGCGGGGCGGCCCAGGGCCGCCGCTCTGGCCGTGATGGCTTCGTCCGTTCCCCGCTTCCCCAGCCACCTGGGCTGCAGCCAGCATGACCGCCCACCTCGGGGGGCGCCAAGTAGGACCCCTGCCCCGGCCCTCGGGTAGTCCCCGTCCTTGCACGACGCCCCCCCAGCACAAGGACCCACCGCCTCTGTCCCCTGCCACAGGCACGGGGATCCTGTCCTCCCAGCCAGAGGAGAACCCCCACTGGTGGAACGCCAACATGGTGTAAGCGGGGCGGGGGGCCCTCCCTGGGGGGGTCCTTCCCAGGCAGCGGAGGGCGGGGCGGGCTCACCGTCCCTGTGTTGCAGCTTCATCCCCTACTGCTCCAGTGATGTCTGGAGCGGGGCTTCCTCCAAGTCCGACAAGAGTGAGTGCCCTGTCCCCCCTGCCTTGACCCCCCCCCCAGCCCTCAGAGAGGGCAGGGGGGGCAGGCTCCTGGGGAAACAGACCTTCAGCCTCGTGACCCCTCTGACCCCAACGCCAGCGTGTCCCAGTGCCTCCGGGGGGTCCTCGCTGCTGCTGTCCCGTGGGGAGGGGGCCCCAGCGGGGCGCGAGCACCCGGCCCACCTTCCTTCGGGCTCTCCAGCCCCCCCCCAACCCCCCCCCCGTCAGGGGCCTCTTCTCCTCCCCACCTGGAGGCAGGAGGCCTGGCCCTGGGCCCAGGCCCCTGCCTGAAGCCGCCCCCCGACCCCCCAAGCAGACGAATACGCCTTCATGGGTGCCCTCATCATCCAGGAGGTGGTGCGAGAGCTCCTGGGCAAAGGGCTGAGCGGGGCCAAGGTGCTGCTGCTGGCGGGGAGCAGGTGGGCCGGCCAGGGGCCGGGGCCTTGCGGTCTGGAGGGCGCCCCGGGCTCCGTGCTGCGGGTGTGAGGGGGCCTTGGGCCCCGGGACCTGGGTCGGTGGCCCACCGTCAGCTGCAGACCCGCGGGCCTTCTCCGAGCTCCGAGGCCGGGACCCCGTAGGCCGGGGTCGCGCTTGGTCCCTGCACCCCAGCAGGCACGCAGGGGATGCTGGGGACATCGGGGGGCGCAGATGAAGGGCTGAGGCCACCCAGGGTGTGTCCCTATGGTCAGACGAGGAAACTGAGGCAGAGAGCGAGAGAGAGGAAGGGAAGGAGGGTCGGAAGAAAGGGCGAGACCTGCCGCCGGGGGCCGGGGCCGGGCCTGGAGCCCCGTCCGCGGGCCTCACGTCCCACCCTCCCTGCAGCGCCGGGGGCACCGGGGTGCTGCTGAACGTGGACCGCGTGGCTGAGCAGCTGCAGGAGCTGGGCCACCCGGCCATCCAGGTGCGGGGCCTGGCCGACTCGGGCTGGTTCCTGGACAACAAGCAGTACCGCCGCACGGACTGCGTGGACACCGTCACCTGTGCGCCCACCGAGGCCATCCGCCGAGGCATCAGGTGCCGGGGCGGGGCCGGGGGCCCGCCTGGGGGGGGGCCTGGGGGGGGCGCAGGGCGGCCTAACCTGCGGCGGGCGCGGCCCAGGTACTGGAACGGGGTGGTCCCGGAGCGCTGCCGGCGCCAGTTCAAAGAGGGCGAAGAGTGGAACTGCTTCTTCGGCTACAAGATCTACCCGACACTGCGCTGTGAGTTGCCGGCGGGGTCCCCGCAGGACACAGGGGCGGGGGCGCCCAGCCGCCTGAAACCCAGCCTGGAGTCCGGCCCCCGAGGCCAGGCCCAGGCCACTGCCCCGCCCGCAGCAGGCGGCAGGCCCGCCCCGTTTGCCTGGGACTCTCCTGGTCTCAGCGCTGAGTGTGCTTGGTCCCCAGCAGCCCAGGACAGGGCAGGGGTGGTGGCGGGTGGCCTGTACCCACGCACGGTGAGGGGTGTGCCAGGGAGCCGGCTCCCAAAGACACTCCCGGTCGGCCGGGCCCAGGCTATGCCCCATCCCCACATGCTGGGGAGTAGTGAGGCCCCATGCAAGAACCCATCATCACCAAGTTTTGTGGAAGCGAGTTCCTGGGAGCCAGGGTAAGGTGGTGGGGTGGACTCAACAAGGCACCCCTTCAGGAAAGGCGGGTGCCGCTGGGGAGGCCGGCTGGCCCGGGGAGCCCTGGGCCTGGGGCGGGGGCCGAGGGCCAAAGCGAGGCCCAGCCGAGCCGTGCCCCCCAGGCCCGGTGTTCGTGGTACAGTGGCTGTTTGACGAGGCCCAGCTGACCGTGGACAACGTGCACCTCACGGGACAGCCGGTGCAGGAGGGCCAGTGGCTGTATATCCAGAACGTGGGCCGGGAGCTGCGGCACACGCTCAAGGACGTGGCGTGAGTGCGGGGCCTCTCGCCCGAGGCAGCAAACTGCTCAGCGGCATAAAAATAGGGCCTCAAAGGCGACCAAGGGCGCAGCAGGCGAGGACTAGCCTCCAGGGCGTGCGGGCCCTGGGGTGTGCGGGCAACTGAGGGGGGCGGGGTGTCAAGCCACCAAGAGAAGTGGAGGGGCCTGGCGTCCAGGTTACTCGGGGAAAGAGGCCAGTCTCCCCACCGCAGCTCCAGCTCCGGGACGCCCCGGGAGCGGCGGCGCTGCGGGCGGCAGAGACCGGGACCGGCGGGGCGGGCGGGGCGTGCCTGCCCCTCCCGGAGGGTGTCCATCACCGGAGCGGACCTCACACGCACAGTGGACTGTGGGTGACGGTGACGTGTGGCTGTAGGCGCATGAGCTGTGGCGAACGCACCCTCTGGTGGGCGGCGGAGAGTGGGGGAGAGGGAGAGGCAGGGAACGGGAACTCTGAGTCTCCCCTCAATTTTCCTGTGGATAGAAAACGTTTTACAAAAATAAAACCTATTTGAAAATGGCACACAGTGCCTGCCTGTCCGGGGTAGCCCCCCACTGCTGGACACCGAGCAGGACCTTGAGGCTGGAAAGGACCCGGGCTCGCAGGCCACGTGCAGGCGGGTGGGGACAAGGCATGGGCCGGGGCGCCGCGGGCCAGGCACAGCAGCAGGAAGGGGGGTTGCCAGGACGCGGAAGGGGCTGGGGGCTGGCTCTTCACCGCGGCCTGTCCGCTCACAGGGCCGGATTTGCCCCCGCCTGCCTCTCCCATGAGATCATCCTCCGCAGGTGAGTGTCCCTCGCCAGGCCCGCTTGCACCGCTGCCTCCCGCTCTGAGCCCACAGAGCCCCCCTCCCCCTCCCCTCCCCCTCCCCCCTCCCCCCTCCCGGGCTGCCGAAGCCCTTGGGCCAGCCGGCTGCACATCAAGGACTCAGTGGCAGCGTGCTGTCGCCTGCTTCGGCCACAGCCGGTGTGACCCCCGCTCGGGGCTTCTGTCCGCAGCCACTGGACGGACGTCCAGGTGAAGGGGACTTCGCTGCCACGGGCGCTCCACTGCTGGGACAGAAGCCTCCACGACAGCCACAAGGCCAGCAAGGCGCCGCTGAAGGGCTGCCCCGTCCACCTGGTGGACGGCTGCTCCTGGCCCCACTGCAACCCCTCCTGCCCCACCATCCGGGACCAGTTCACGGGGCAGGAGATGAACGCAGCCCAGTTCCTCATGCACATGGGCTTCGACGTGCACACCGTGGCCCAGCAGCAGGGCCTGGAGCCCAGCAAGCTGCTCGGGATGCTGAGCAGCGGGAGCTAGGCCCCGCCCGGCCCCGCCCCGCCCCCCGGGACAGGCAGGGCCCCCACCCCGGCTCCGGACACCCTCTCCCAGCAGCCTTCACTGCCCCTTTGCCACTGCCGACAGGGCCTGGCCGGACACGGGGCCTCGGGAGCCTCCGGCCGCCGCCGCCCCCGCCTCCGGCCCGGGGTGGGGAGCCAGAGCACTGGATCCCTCGGCCCCCCGCCCGCCCCGGGCCCCCTGCCCTTCCGTATTATTTTATAAAGTGACTTTTTTATTACTTTAATTTTTTTAAAAAGGAAAATAAGCAAGAAATATATGAGGAATGATATTGTTTTGTAACATATATTTTTAAATAATGAGAAAAAGACAACAAAAGAGCTTCTCCTTGTGGATGTGTTTATTGGAACGGGCCGCCGGCTCACCCGCACCCCTGCCCCAGACCGCCCCCGGCCCTCCCCGCACCGCGGGTCTCGACCCAGCCCCTTCCCCAGGGGGCCCTGCCTCTGCTCGCCCATTCGGCCAGTGCCCGTGGAGAGACCTCAGCCGGGGGACCGCAGCTCGTGTTTTTATTCTGCGGGGCAGGGTGCCGCTTCACCGTGTGCAACTCTGCGTCTACACGCACAGGACCTCGCCACCCCCGACGACTGCCGTGGTGCTGTCGCCCCAGAAACACTCCCTCCTCAGCTACCGGGCCTGCTTTGACAGACAGCACCGTCTGCCTGGCTCACAGCCTGAAAGCGGCGGGAGTCTGAGGGGAGAAGGGCCCCCAGCCCGGCCCCCAGCCCGGCCCCTGAGAGCCACGGTGCTGGGCCTCCCATGGCGGGTCCCAGAGGACCCGGCCCCCCGAAAGACATGTCCACGCATGCGGGCATGCTCGTCACTGCGCACGGCGCCTTGGGGCCACGGAGAGCCACGCTGGCATGACGGTCCCGGTCAGCATCGCTGGGCACATGGGCAAGCGTGTCCACAGGAGAAGCGCTGGAGGCGGGGCTGTGTCTCCCCTCCGGTGGGTGGGCTTCCCGAGGGCTCCTTGGATTAAGCACCTAAGGTTGCATCCTTCGCCCCTACCTGCCCTACAGGTAGGCTCGATTGCAAACCCAAGTAGACAGATGAATAAACTGAGGCCCAGAGAGGCTCTATGGCGGGTTGTAAGGGACAGAGGGGGATCACCCCGGGCTCCACTCCTGGCCTCACCTGTGCGGGCAGCCTGGGCCTTCAGCCCACCCGTCGGTGCTGGCTTCCCGGGTGGAGCTAAGTGGCCCATCTGTGGCCTTCTCCGTGGTCTCCTGGGGGACCTGCAGAGCCCCCGTGAGAGACGGTGAGGTCAGGGATGGGGTGGCTAAAGGCTGGAGAAGAAAGAAGGGGTCCCTGGAGTTATCTCCTGGCTCAGGGGAGCCGCCCCGCCTCCGGCCCCCAGGCAGGTCTCGGAGAGCCCAGCAGGATGGGGGCTGGGAGGACCTGCGGGGGCTCTACCGCCACCACCTGGGGCGAAGGGAGCCCGCGGGGGCTCTCAGGGGGCGCTGCCCAGACCAGTTCTTCCTGCAGAGAAGGCGCAGCCGTGACAGCAGCAGGGCTCCCAGGAGCCGGCAGCTGCGCTGCCCCTCAGAGGCGGGGCTCCGGGGCCGGGGCTGGTGTGTCGCGGGCATGGCCAGCTCATCGAGCCTGACGCTTGCGGGTTAGGCCCCGCGGGGTTTCACCGGGCGAACGCATCCAGCGTCCCCACAGCCCCGATAAGAAGGGAGAAGGGCGGCCACCTCAGCCTCGTGGCCAGTCCACGTTGTGCTTCCCTGTGGGACCAGTGACAAAATGAGCCCAGGACACACGAGGACCCCGGGTGCCATCAGAGCCGCAGTGCCCGGTGCGACGCCAGTGAAGCGCACAGAGCGCTGTGCACTGCCATTGCGACATTTTTAGAAATGCTGCTGCCTGGCGTTGTCCGCATCACATGATTCCTGTCAGGGCCGAAGTGCTCGGGACAGAAGCCACCAAGGCGTCCTTCGGCGGTGAGCAAATAAACTGGTCCACCAGACGGCGGGACATCATTCTGTTCTAGGGAGAGAGGAGCCGTCAAACCAGGAGAAGACGGCAGGAGCCGAGATGCCCATGACCTGACGAGCGGGAAGCAGCCAGTCCGAGAGGCGAGGAGCCGCGCCCCACGCCGGGCGCCCAGCTGCGGGACCCCCCGGGAGCGGCGGCGCTGCGGGTGGCAGAGACCAGGACGGCGGGGGCGGGGGGGGGGGCGCTGAGACGGCTCCACGGGAGGCTGGGACCGCGGCGGCGCGCCAGTGCGTGCCTGCCCCTCCCGGAGGGTGTCCATCACCAGAGCGGACCTCACACGCACAGTGGACTGTGGGTGACGGTGACGTGTGGCTGTAGGCGCATGAGCTGTGGCGAACGCACCCTCTGGTGGGCGGCGGAGAGTGGGGGAAGCGGGGGGCGGGAGGGGTGTACAGGAGATCTGTACCCTCTTCTGCTCAATTCTTCCGGGAACCTAAAATCACTCTGAAAAATCAAACCCATTTAAAAAGTGCTCAGATGTTCACCCCAAGCCTACGGCGCGCCCTGCATCACGGGCTAGAGCGTGACCTTTGCTGCCCAGGGACGTGAGGCATGGCACTTTCTCTCAGCATGGTCCCTGATCTCAGGTTTCAACTCTGTGCTAAAGAACTCAAAAGATCCACGTGAACGGGCAGGACGGCGCCCGGCGGCCTCTCTGCCCCGTGCGCTTTGCCCCCGAGCGGCCTCCCCCGCCCGCCCCTGCACAGCCGCCGCCGCCCCCCGCCCCCCCGCAGACTCTGGCCACCGCAGCCTCTAGTGTCCGCGGACACCTGGGCCCGACGCCTCCCGGGGCCACTCATCCTCACAACCGCCGCCCGCCGAGGAGCCCCCATTTCGCTCTCTCACCCCTCGCTTCCTCTCCCACACGACACGCTTCCGCTGCGCGCACGGCCCTCACGGCGGCCCTCACTGCTGTTGCTCCGGGGCCCAGGGCTGGCACCCTGGGGGCCGGGCGCTCTGCGGATACAGCAGGGAGATCTGTTTAGGGGGTGGAACATCCACTGGAAGAAAAAGAAAAAAACAGAAACACACTCCTGGCAACTTCAGAGCCAGGGGGAGCAGTGAGGAGCAGAAAACCCAGAGGCTTTGGTAAAATTTGATGTATGTGTTTTACTGATTTTTGGCAGGCCACTTTACAAATATCGTTTGAACATTTTTTTAAAAAAAGATTCTATTTATTTATTTTCAGAGGAGACGGGAGGGAGAAAGAGAGGGAGAGAAACACCCATGTGTGGTTGTCTCTCATGCGCCCCCTGCTGGAGACCTGGCCCACAACCCAGGCCTGTGCCCTGCCTGGGAACCGAACCCCCAACCCTTTGGTTCGCAGGCCGGCGCTCAGTCCACTGAGCCACACCAGCCAGGGCTGCTTGAACACTTCTTGAATGACAGTATTTGTTTATACATGTGCTCGTTACAGTTGATGAAAGGACACCCTGTAGCAAGACGCACCCCAGCACCCAGACCACGGTCTGTGCAGCTGGTCCCCCATCAAAGGAGCCGGGCTCCTCAGGGAGATGGCTGGTCCCAGCACTGGCGCAGGAGCGCCTGAGAGTCAGGGGGTGCAAAATGGGTGCCCCACCACAGGGGGCGGCGTGCAAGAGGACGCGGGGACACGGGACAAGCCGAGGCTGGGAGGCTTTCAGCAGCAGAACAACAACAACAAAAAAATGTAGTCCTGCGCACTTTTTATACTTTCGGATTTTAACCCAAAGTATAAAATAAATGGGCCAAAAAATACAATTAAATTAAATTTAAAAAATAAAATAAAATAAATGGGCCTGAGTCTGCAATGATATTTTTAACATAATTGAACATACACAGAGAGGAGAAAAGACCAATCTCTTCTGCAGAATCCAAATGATGTTTGTAGATTCCTTCTCCTCAGGGAGAGGGACCCCCCTCCCAGTGTGGGCTAGCACAGTGACGTCCCCCCAAAGAGGACAGGATGCAAAGGGAGAGAGAGAGAGGAATGCCCCCAAAGGGGACACCTGGCAACACCTCAGCCGGGTGACTAAGGTCGCATCCCCGTGAGTCATGGTGAGAGCAGGACTCGACGTGAGGGATGAGAAGGGCGCTTTGCCTCCGTGGTCTTCCTCGCCCGCACCCCCGGGGGCCAGACGCACGGCGAGAGGGACGTCACACAAATCCCAGCAGAGGGGCCGTCTGCACAGTCCCGGCCCGGCACTCCGCGCCCGCCCGGTCGCCCGGCTCGGGGACCTCTGAGAGGCGGTCAGAGCCCCGAGCAGCCTGCGGAGTCCGCGCCTGCGCATCGTGGGAGATTCTGCCGCAGAAAAGCAGCAACAGGTTATAAAACCGAGGAAATAAAGTGCGGACTTTGGTCACAAAAATGAATCAACATGGGCTCAAGAATTGTAACAAATTCTTCCAAACAGGGCAAAGCTAGGGTGTCCAACCTTTGGGCATCCCGGCCACACTGGAAGAAGAGTTGTTTAGGGTCACACATTAAATACATTGTGACACCTAATAACAAAAAAATCTCATAATGTTTTAAGTACATTTAAGATTTTGTGTTGGGGCACACTCGCAGCCACCCTGGGGCGCATGAGGCTGCGGGACGCAGGCCAGACACCCGGTGCAGTGTCCTGGGCGTGCGGTGGGCGGGGACCTGCTCAGTTTCTCTGTACGTCTAAAACTGTTCTGAAAATGAAGCCTCGTCCCGGCTGGCGGGGCTCAGGGGACTGAGCGCCGGCCTGCGAGGCCAAGGGTCCCGCCTTCGGCTTCCAGTCCGGGCGCCGGCCTGGGCTGCGGGCGGGTCTCCAGTAGGGGGCGCGCGAGAGGCACCACACACGGATGTCTCTCTCCCTTCCCCTCTGAAAATGAACAAAATCTTTAAAAAATAAAAACAAGAAAGCCTACTTAAAAATTTCGTAAAAGTAAGTGTTTTACTCATACAATAACATAAATGTAGCTCTTTTTAATTGTAGTAAGATGTACTTGGCTTATTTCAAAAATTATTCTCTTTTCTACTTTAGAAACTAATAGCTATTCATTCATCTTAGAAAAGTTGGAAAACACTACTGAAAAGCAGCCGCCCTGGCCAGGCACTCAGCTGGTCAGAATGTTGTCCTGATGCGCCAAGTCTGTGGGTTCGATCTCTGGTCGGGGCACATGGAGGATAAACCAATGGATGCATAAAAAAGTGAAGCAATAAATCAATCCCTCTCTCTCTCTACCCCCCTCCCTTCCTCTCTTTCTCTCTCAAAGCAATAAAAAGTTTTCAAAAGGAAGGAAGGCAGGCAGGGAGGAAGGGAGGAAGGAAGGAGGGAAGGAAGGAAGGAAGGAAAGAAGGAAGGAAGGAGGGAAGGAAGGAACGGGCTGAGCCTGGGGCCGAGGCTGGTGTGGCTCAGTGGACTGAGCACCGGCCTGCAAACCAAAGGGTCGCGGGTTTGATTCCCAGTCGGGGCACAGGCCTGGGTTATGGGTCAGGTCCCCAGTAGGAGGCACATGAGAGGCCACCACACTTGGATGTTTCTTGCCCTCTTTCTCCCTTCCTTCCCCTCTCTCTACAAATAAATAAATAAACATCTTTAAAAATTATATCGATAAACTCTTTAAGCAGCAAAAGCCCCCATTGCCCTGCCTGGGAGCTGACCCTGGGGCTGACCCCGGGGACACTGCAGGCCGTCACCCGCCATTCTGTGGTGCCGGAGGTGCTGCTCCCTCGGAGCAGCCGGCCGCACAGCCTCGCCGTAGGCCCCCTCGGTCCCTTGACCCCTTGCCGAGCGCTCTGCGTGTCCACAAGGCACTTCAGGGCCGCCTAACAGTCGTCACTCCCTACCCAGTGCCTGCTGTCGGGCTTCGGGGGGTCTCCAGCTGAATTCCCTCAAGGTCGGGGGCAAACTGTCGATGTAGAACCCCTGCTTCTGTCATTGTGACACGTTAGCAAACTGACTTTCCTAGGAGAAGGGGGCCCCCTTCAGCCACTGCAGCCGCCCCCGCTGCCCGGCAGCCGGCCTCCGGCCGGCGCAGGTGTGCTGGCCATCCCTGAGCACCTGGGGACGCCCCAGAGCGCTTCAGGGCCGAGGCCAGGTCTCCCCGAACCGCCCAGCTCCTTGGGAGCGACAGGCTGGACCATGCGGCCCCGTGGCCTGGGACAGCGGGGCTGGGCCAGGAACACCTGGGAGGCCAGGACCGCAAGGGCCCTGCCGAGGGCACGCCGGACCCGCGGGGCACCTGCCTCCCGTGTGACAGCAACTGTGAGGGGGGCGTCCCTGGGGGGAAGGGGGCTCCTCGCGGTGCCCAGACGCTGTCCCGACGGCGAGACCCGAAAACGCACAGGAGTCCCTCCCTGCATCGTTACATGAGCTGATCTGGAAACATTATAAATAAGCACGTTAGGTCCGGTGCCCCCCGGGCTCTGGCCAAGACAATGGCTTGGCCGGAATCCAACCGCGAGGAGACAGTCCGTCTACACACAGAGAGATGGTCTGTCAGGCCACCTCTGTCAGGCCACCGGCCCGGACTCTCCGAAAGAGCAGTGCGAGGAAATAGCAAGAAGAGCAGAGACTGTTCTAGAAAAAAGGAAACTGGGAGGCCCAGCGGCCACATGCAGAACCCGCATCAGGTGCCGGGCGGGAGTTATAAAGCTGTAGCGCGTGTTCGGGGCCCCGTGGGGGACACCGGGTCAGGACCGCGTGTTACTCCCAAGCCTCCCAGGTGCAGGCACCGTGCTGGGGTCCCGTGTTCTCAGCAGGAGCCCGCGGGGCAGCACCGGGGGGCGGACCGCCGCACCCACAGAAGCAGCGTTGGTGTTGGTTATGAGGTGGGAGCGCGTGGGAGGGCGAACGAACAGTCGGCAGAAGAGTCACGATTCTCGACTCGAGGGGAGAGGATGTGCATGGTGCCATTTCGCAACTCATCTGCAAACGCGGAGTTTTTCTAAGTGAAAGTGGGGGAAAGATACATAATTATGTAATTACGTACATACACACGAGATGTTCATAGGGGTCGGATCGAGCGAGAGGGTCTCAGGTGATTTTTCTGTATATTTCCCCGCACTGAGGGGAACGTCCAATGCACACATTCAGAAAGAAATTTTTCATCTTCAAAAACATTTTGCACATTATTAGTGTTTTAGTCTAAACACGGGGGCATTGGTTTTTTTCCTCGGTGTTATGTGTCCACTACAGGGACAGGTAAAAAGCTCCACAACCCCCCCCCATAATAACAAAAGCTCCGCCCCAGGTCAGGCTGGGGCTGTGGGAAGAAAGGGGGGTGCAGGGCCTCCAGCACCCGCTCCCTCCCCCACCACCTCCCCGGGACAAGAGCTGAGCCAGGGTCCCGGGAGCAACGCCAACAGGGTCTGAAACCACCAAGCCGCCTTCTGGAAGGACAGGCAGGGTCGCCTCCCCTGGCCCATCCCCCTGTGGACGAGCCCAGGAGGCTCCAGGAGCTGAAGGGACTGGGAGCAACCAGGTCGCTCTCCGCTCCCAGCTCCCGGCTCCCGGCTCCCGGCTCCCCTCCCGCCCCACCCCCACCCCGCGGGCTAGGGAGCGACTGACCGACAGACGCAGGTGCTGTGGGGGGCGGTGCCAGGAGCCCAGGGGTTAACGATCACCGGGCAGGGGCCTGGCCGGGACACAGGGGTCGGATGTCCCAGCCTCTGATCACAGCCGCCTATTTATAGCGCTGGGGGCCTTGCCCTCCCCACACGAGCAGAGGAGAGGCTGCGTGCTGCGACATCACAGCGCCAGTCGCCAGTCACCGCTACTGCAGGCTGCCGGCCCCGGCAGGGCGGCTGAAGGAGACAGAGGCGCCGCGTGAGGAGAGGAAGAGGCCGGGCCATGGGCAGCACCCTGGAGCCCCCCGGGGGCGGGTACCTGCACCTGGGCGCCGTGACGTCCCCCGTGGGCACCGCCCGCGTGCTGCAGCTGGCCTTCGGCTGCACCACCTTCAGCCTGGTGGCCCACCGCGGCGGCTCCGCGGGCGTCCAGGGCACCTTCTGCATGGCGGCCTGGGGCTTCTGCTTCGCCCTCTCCGTGCTGGTGGTGGCCTGCGAGTTCACCGGGCTGCACAGCTGCCTGCGCCTCTCCTGGGGCAACTTCACGGCGGCCTTCGCCATGCTGGCCACGCTGCTCTCGGCCACGGCCGCCGTCCTCTACCCGCTGTACTTCACGCGGCTGCAGTGCCCGCCCGCGCCCGAGGGCTGCGCGGCCCGGGACTTCCGCCTGGCCGCCAGCGTCTTCGCCGGGCTCCTCTTCCTGGCGTACGCCGCGGAGGTGGCCCTGACGCGGGCCCGGCCCGGCCAGGTGGCCAGCTACATGGCCACGGTGTCTGGCCTCCTCAAGATCGTCCAGGCCTTCGTGGCCTGCATCATCTTCGGGGCGCTGGTCCATGACAGTCGCTACGGGCGCTTCGTGGCCACCCAGTGGTGCGTGGCCGTCTACAGCCTGTGCTTCCTGGCCACGGTGGTCGTGGTGGCTCTGAGCGTGACGGGCCACACGGGCGGCCTGGGCTGCCCCTTCGACCGCGTGGTGGTGGTGTACACCTTCCTGGCTGTGCTCCTGTACCTCAGCGCCGCGGTCATCTGGCCCGTCTTCTGTTTTGACCCCAAGTACGGCGAGCCCGGGCGGCCCCCGGACTGCGCTCGGGGCCGCTGCCCCTGGGACAGCCAGCTGGTGGTGGCCATCTTCACCTACGTCAACCTGCTCCTCTACGTCGCCGACCTCGCCTACTCACAGAGGATCCGCTTCGTGCCCGTCCTGTAGCCCCCGCAGCCGCCCGCCACCTCCGCTCTCCAGGCTGTACACGGGGGGCCAGGGGAAGCCCCCAGCTCGGGAGGGGTGGGCGGGGGGGCCGAGGGCGGGAGGCCCTGAGCGGGACGCCAGAGGGGCCTCTGCCAGGCAGCCCCCAGCTCCTCTCTGTCTGCCTCTCCCTGCCTGTCTCTGTCTCTCCATCCCATGGCCCTCCGGGGACAGTGACGGTCACTGCGAGAGACAGGCGCTGGGGTGACCTGCTTTGCACATGGATTCACTGAGGCCGGGACTTGGTGGCCCCAGGTGTCCGTCAGTGCCTGGAGCCCACGGTCAGGCTGGGTGATCTGAGAGGAGCTGAAAAGGGGACACTTCCCAGAGGTGTGGGAAAGGGCTGGAAAGGAGCCCGGGAGAAGGCCAGAGCCAGGCCAGCGCAGGGCCATGGGGCTGGCCCTCCTCCAGCCTTCAGGGGGCAGCTCCCCAGACCCTGGAAGGACAGCCAGCGGAGCAGGGCCCTGCTGGGGGTCTGCGGCGGCTCGGAGGGAAGGAGCTGGAGTCGGGACCCCAGCTCCCATGCCTCCTGCTGGCCACGGACGGACGTGGGAAGCGGAGCCAGGACTGCGGTGTGGTCCCTCCGGGCGGCCTCAGCGGCCGGGGGACGCAGGCGACCTACAGGGGCCCTCGGGGGCCAGCCGCACCGCCAAGAGCATGCTGGGAGACGCCGGGTCCCCACCCAGGCGGCCCGCACACGGCAGCCCTGTGGGGCCTGTGGGGGCCCGGGGTGCGGGGCCTGGGCTCCGGGCACTTCCCTGGAGCCTGCAGGTCCCCCACCTCCATCTGCTCAAGCATTCGTTTGCCTAGCAGCTGACCCTCAAGGCCCGGCGGGGATCGCCCACTGTGCTCCAGACAGCTCCTCCCACTCAAGAGCCCAGCCTGGGCCGGCCCGCGCAGCCCACTGGCCGCCTCGGAGCCCACAGCCTCGCAGCCTGCTGACTGGCCCGAGGCCTGGAGCAGGGAATAAACGCCGGCTCTGGTCTGCACCCCGGCCTGCCGAGCAGTCTCTGCCCCTCCGCCCCGTGCACCCTGAGGAGAGGGACCCAGGCCCTGCCTGCTGGGGGCCGCGGCAGCTGGGGTGGGGCCCAGGCCGCTCTGGGGTGAGGGTGGCCTCCAGGGAAGGGGCAGATGGCCTCCTCTCCCCCGGCCAGAACCCAGAACGGCACGGGGGAGGCCAAGCTTGGCGGCCCCTCCCGGCGGCACTCAGCACTCACGGCCCCCCCACACCCCTCCAGGGGTTTCTGGGCCCAAGCACAGTGGGGGGCACAAGGGTGCGGCACCACCGTGGGCGGCTGCGCCCAGGCAGGTTTCAGGCACCCTCTGTGCCGGCAGCCAGCAGAGCGTGAGACAGATCGGCCCTGCCTGCTAGGGAAGTCACTCCAGCAGGGGCGCTTTACCCTGGGGGCGGGCATGGCAGGCAGACCCCCGAAGGGGGCAGGAGCCCGGGTCCTGAGGCGTCCTGAGGGCCCCCCCCAGCTGTGGGAGGGTTGGGGTTAGGGGGTACACTTCCAGGGACAAAGAGGCATGTGGGCCCCACCCTTCGCAGGTCACGGGGAGACCTGGACACCAGCCGCCCTCCCTTTTCCAGCCAAACTTCAGGATCGAGTTATGCGTCACCGACTGCTGCATCTCCTCACTGTCCAGAGGCCTCCTGTCCCCAGCTCCGCGCCCACACTAAACTTCAAAGTCCACGGGGTTGGGGGAGAGACAGAGGAGGGAGGGGATCCTGGGCTCGAGATGAGCCGGAAGGTCCTGGGGACAAGAGGACTCTCTGTGGACAAGGGGAGTTACTTGCTGTTATTACTTGAAAAACAGTACTTTTTCCAGAAGAGGTTTCCATCTCTGGGTAAGGACAGTCAGGTGAGCCACATCGGAGCCCCGAGTTTGCGCCAGGCCACTTCCCTGAGCAGCCTGTCCTGGGAGGACAAGGGCTGATGGCCAGAGCAGATGCCACTCGAAGGCCTGGAGCCCTGCCACACACGTGATCGGTACTGGCTCTGGCGGCGGCGGGGGTCACTGTGTCAACGACACACCTCAGGTTCCATGGCACCAACGTGCTTCAGGACAGCCTGCCACTCGATTTGCAGAGCCGGTTAAATAAAGCAGCTCGCCCCCAGCCCTGCGGGGGGGTGGGTTGTTCTCAAGGACCATGTCTTACTTTCACTTTGCTTTGACCCTGCTGCTGACGGGGACCCCAACTGTCCAAGCCCAAATCCTCGAGGCAGCTCAGGTGACTGCTGAGAACGCCCTCGGGGAAAGCGGCAGAGCCACGTTCTGCCCAGACCCTGCAGACGAGGCATCAGGAGACTCTGGGTGCTCCGCGGGGGCCGGGGTGGGGGGCACGGTGGGGTCGTCTTCTGCCTCAAGTGGCCTGCTGGACCTGTTGAAATGGCAACAGGCCCGCTGCTGAGTGTCCGGCTGCTTCCGAAAGGGTCCTGGCCCAGAAGAGACTGTGGAGGAGAAACCCGAGAGGGAGAAGCAGGGACCTCGGAGAGTGACCTGGACTTCCCAGATGCCTCCAGATCCTGGGGTCTCTCCAGTCTCCAAGCCTCCTGGCCCGCTCTGGCCCAGGCACACACGAGCAAGGGCAAAGATACAGTATCAAACCAATGATACATTTTAAATATTGCCATTAGGCACGTTGTTTCTAACCTCCCTCCTCCAAGCAAGGAAAACTTCTACCCGGTAGGATTCCTCCAAACGTGATGCTCGCCCGTGTTAATGATAGGTCTGGGCTCACAGCCAGCGTCCGCCACGCGGTGGGGGACACCGGCCTGCCATATTCGTGTCCGTGTGGCCCACAACAGGGCTCCGCGTTACGTGATCCTGCCCAGGACCTTCCCTTGAGGACCTCACTCCCGCCGCCCCTTCCCGCGCCCCGCGTCCTTAGTCCCCACGTTTGGTCCCAGGGCCTGGATCTGGGCGGGCACGGGTCACAGCGCGAGGGCCCAAGGGACGGAGGTCCTAAGGAACGCGGGTTCGGGGGGAGGTTCCGGGGACGCGGATCCGGGGTGCGGGGGTGGGGGTAGAGGCCCCTGGGTCTGTCGTGAGGCTGGCAGCGGGGAGGCCCGGTGGGCCGGCGGGGGGCGTGGGCCCGGGCGAGAGGCTGATGCAACCCCCCTCCGCGCCGCCCGCAGCCTCCGATTGGCCGGCGCCCGGGCGGCCGCCCTGTGGATTGGCCCGGGCGTCGGAGGCGGGGCCGGAGGGCGCGGATGCCGCGTGGCTGGCGCCGCGCGGTGGGCGGGGGGCGGCGGTGGCAAGGTATCTCGTCTACCGGACCGGGGCTGGGGTCCGGCTCCCGCAGGTGGGTGGCGCTGCGGGGCAGGGGAGGCGTGCGTGTGCGTCCCGCGGCACCCGGCGGCGGGGCGCCAGGACAAGGGTGCTGGCCCCTGGGGGGGGTCTCCGGGCTCCGGGAGGGTGCCCCCCGCGGCTCCCCGACCCCGTCTGCGGTCCGGCGCGCTCCTCCCGCCTCCCTGTGCCTGGGGAGCTCGCGAGCAGGTCGGGGACGGCCTTGCAGGTGGGAGATCGGAGCAGTTACCTGGCCCGGGGCCGTTGGGCAACCAAGGGGGAAGTTAGAGCGGCCGGGGTCGGGGGCGCCGGCCGGTGGTGCAGTGGCCCTAACTTCTGGCGCGGGATCGGCCGCGTCTCCTCCCGCAGCTGCTCCGGCAGAGCAAGTGCCAGCTCTAAGGGCTGAGGGCGCGCCTGGCGACACCATGAGCGTGGGCTTCATCGGGGCTGGCCAGCTGGCTTTTGCCCTGGCCAAGGGCTTCACAGCAGCAGGTAGGCCCTGTGGCCAGGAGGGGACCCACAGCGGGAGGGGGGCAGTTACCCCGCTGCGGCCTGGGGGAAGGAAGGCGGGGTCTGGGTAACGCGCGCCCCAGGGAGTTTGGGGTCGGGCGGGGCTGCCCTCACCTGGGCAGAGGGATGCCGCTCCGCTCCCTGGGGATGTGGGCCAGGGAGGCCAGGACTGGCCTTGAGGAGGAACTCTGCTCCCTGCAGGCGTCCTAGCCGCCCACAGGATAGTGGCCAGCTCTCCAGACATGGACCTGGCCACCACCGCGGCGCTCAGGGTAGGTGCGGGGTGACAGGGGCCTCCCAGGCCCAGTCAGTGTGTCTGACCCTGGGAGGGGGTTGTGACAGCCTCCACCCTGTAGGGCCAGGCGGAGTGGCCTCGTGAAGCAGCCCCCCAGCCCAGCGAGAGAAGGGGCCCGGGCCACGGCACCTCACAGACCCGGCTCTGCTCTTGGGACCTGGGCACCAGGCACACGGGCAGCTGGCGGGGAGGGGCTGCCGGTCTGGAATGGGGTGCTCTGGGGGCCAGGCGGGTGGGGCCACAGTGTGGGGCCAGGAGAGACACCTCTGGGGCTGACACAGCTTCCGTTTGCCGTGGCTGAGCTAGGGCTCCAGGTCCCAGGGTGGGGCAAGCGCCCAGCTTGGGACCATCACCGCACTCAGAGGGCAGACGGCAGGGGGCCGGGGCTGAGGCATGAATACAGTGTCCCTTTTCTCGCTGCAAAAGGAACACTTTCCAGAGTAGAATGCTCCCCGCCCTTTTGAGTGGGAAGGGCGGCAGGGGAGTGGCGGGGCCCCTGAGCCCCTGACGGCCCCGGCCCAGCAGCCTCGGAGCTGGTCCGCAGCGCGGCCTCAGCTGGGGGCAGGGGTGCTGAGGGTCCCGCCAGCCCCAGGCTCAGGCTGAGCCCGCCGTGACACTCCCCACAGAAAATGGGGGTGAACCTGACGCCCCACAACAAGGAGACGGTGCAGCACAGCGACATGCTCTTTCTGGCCGTGAAGCCGCACATCATCCCCTTCATCCTGGACGAAATCGGCTCTGACCTCAAGGACCGGCACATCCTCGTGTCCTGTGCGGCGGGCGTCACCATCAGCTCCATCGAGAAGGTGGGTGCTGCGGTCCAGGCCCAGCGGGGCGTGGAGAGGGGATGGGGGTGTGCACTGCGGAGCGCCCAGAGGCTCCGCTCCCCTCCATGCCCCGGCTCCCCTCCCCCCGGGAAATGCATGTGTTGGCCCGGCCCACAGCGAGAGCTGGGAAATGCTCCGTGGGGTGGGTGCTCATGCTCACGCCCCATGCACCCCGCTGGGCACAGGCCGCGGCGGACACACAGGTGGTTTCTTCTCCAGAAGCTGACGGCGTTCCAGGCAGCCCCCAAAATCATCCGCTGCATGACCAACACGCCGGTCGTGGTGCGGGAGGGGGCCACCGTGTATGCCATGGGCACCCACGCCCAAGTGGAGGACGGCCGGCTGCTGGAGCAGCTCATGGGCAGCGTGGGCTTCTGCGCGGAGGTGGAGGAGGACCTCATCGATGCCGTCACGGGGCTCAGCGGCAGCGGCCCAGCCTACGTGAGCGCTGGGGACGGTGGGCAGCAGCTGGCTGCGGGGGGGCCCTCCAGGCACGTCCGTTCCTCCTCCGCCCTCCCCTCCACCCCCCCAGCTGCTGCGCGGCCATTGCCCCAAGGAGAAAAGGCAAGGCATGGCGTCTGAGGCGCCTTCTCCCTGCAGGCGTTCACAGCCCTTGACGCCCTGGCTGACGGCGGCGTGAAGATGGGGCTGCCCCGGCGCCTGGCAGTCCGCCTCGGGGCCCAGGCCCTGCTGGTCAGTCCTCCCCCGGGCCCTCTGCGCGGGGGGTGGCTGGGCTGGTGCCTGGGATGGGCCGCGGGGGAGCCGGCGGGTGCCGCTGGGGCTGGGCCAGGGCCCTGTGGACGTGGGCGGGGGCCCCCGTAGCCGTCAGCCCCTCTCCCCGTCTGCAGGGGGCCGCCAAGATGCTGCTGGACTCGGAGCAGCACCCGGGCCAGCTCAAAGACAACGTCTGCTCCCCCGGAGGGGCCACCATCCATGCCCTGCACGTGCTGGAGAGCGGGGGCTTCCGCTCCCTGCTCATCAACGCCGTGGAGGCCTCCTGCATGCGGACACGGTGGGTGACCCCGCAGCTGCGTGCCCCCCGCCCCCTGCCCCGGGGCACCGGAGCCCATGGCCCGCTCGGGTCCGCTCGGTCATTCACACGGCAGATGTTTGTCGCACTCCGGCCTGGCAGTGGGCAGGGCACAGGAGCCCTGAGGTTCCCTGGGGCGCGGTTTGCGATGCCCCCCCCCAGCATCCTGCCAGGGAACCTGTGGGGCCCATGATAACCCCTGCCTCCTGGCCTGGCCTGGAAGATTAAGCAGGTCAGACGAGCAGGAGGCAGCGGGGCGCCCTGCTCTGCGAGAGCTGAATGCAAGCCAGAGCAGGGCCGGCCGGCCTTCGGTGTCTAGGCTCGCCCTCACTGTCCCTAGTCCAGGTCCTGAGGATGGACAGGCGTCTTTCTCGCCCTCTGGCCTGCTCTCCAGTACAGACCCCCGGGCTCTTCCGAGAGCCACCGTGTGACAGTGAGGCGGGGCACAGGGCCGCCTTCCTGGCACCAGCCGGGAGACAGACAAGGCACAGGTCCTGTGCACAGGGCGATAAGGGCTCAGAGTCGGGGCTCTAAAGTGGGGGAGTCTGAGCCGGTTTGAATGAGGTGAGAGTGAGCCAGACGGCCGTCAGGGGAGGGTGGATGGCAGAGAAGGGCAGGCGCAGGGAGCTGCGGGCCCGTCTCTTCTTCCCTCGTGGGCACTTGGGCCTGGGGAGCAGGCAGGGCCCTGTACCCAAGCCCCCTCACTGCTCCCTCCAGGGAGCTGCAGTCCATGGCTGACCAGGAGCAGGTCTCACCAGCTGCCATCAAGAAGACTGTCTTGGACAAGGTGAAGCTGGACTTCCCTCCTTCGGGCCACTCCAAGCTGCTCACCCGCAGCGTGGCCCCCGTGGGCACCGAGGACTGAGGTGTCCCCGCTGCGTACACACCAGGCTGCCCTCCGCCCTCTCTCTCCGGGCTCGGAGCTCTGCGCAGGGCGTCCTAGCCCCAAGCCACGCAGGCTGTCGTGCCCTCGTGGCGGCCCACTGCCCCGGCCCTGGTCTACTCCGGTCACCCAGGGTCATAGCCGGGGAGAGGGCGTGTCACTTCCCACCGGGGAGCTCCCTGAGCGCCTCCTGGCCAAGGAGACAGATGGGCCTTCTGACCTCAACCTCCCCCTTCCTCTGCCCCCAGACCAAGTCAGGACCACCTCCTGGGGGCTTGGAAGGGTTGTCATGCCCCAGAGTCAGCTGGCTTGGGCTTTGGTCCCCTTCCTGGGCACAAAAGGTCAAGCTTCCCCTCCCTGAGGTCCTGGCCAAGGAGAGCGCCCTACCGTGCCACGCCCGCCACCTTCCCACTCTCCACGCACGGGGTGGGGACACATTCCTCTGGGCAGGAACAACCAGAGGGTCCCATGCATCTTGAGTGCAGTGGGAGGGACTGTGTTTCCTCTTGGCCACCGCCCATGACCCTGCGTCCCCACTGGAGAAAGGGCTCCCCCAACAGTTGGACTTCCAAGGTCATCAGAGCTCTCAGGCCACTGTCTCCCACTCCTGACTTGACCCCCAGATGCTGTCACTTGTTTCTTTGGCCTCTTAGGTTAAATAAAGTGGTTTCCGGCCCAGTGTCTTAACTTCTAACTTTGTCACGGTGTGTGGAGGGGCCCCTCAGCTGCTCCCAGAGGGTCGCTGCTTCCCAGGCTGCTGGGCTGGGGTGAGGAGTGAAGGGGAGCCTCCCGCCGAGCAGAGGGGGCTGAGCAGAGGGGGCCGGCGCAGCCTCTCAGGCCTCAGCCACTGGAAGGTGGGGCTGGGCTGGGCTGGGCCTGCCCTGCCCGGCTGCGAGAGGGCAGCAGCTACTGCGTCCCCCAGGCCTCAGGTCGTGAGGGCATGTCTGTCCATCACACCCAGGCAGGGGCAGGCTGGGCGGGAGGCCCCTGGGGGCTAGCTGTGCCAGGGCTCCGCGGAGAGACAGAACCAGAAGGACGTGGAAATAGACACCGGGACGTGTATAAAGAGGTTCGTTTTAAGGGAGTGGTCCGCGCAACCGGTGAGGCTAGCGAGTCCACGCTGCAGGGCGGGCGGGCGGGCGGGCAGGTGGGCTGGGTTCCCAGACAGCCGACACCCCAGTCCGGGATGGGAGTCAGGCAGAGCCAGCGCTGCTGGTGGGAATTCTCGCTGCAGGGCACCTCCGTCTTTGTTCACTTTGGGCCGGCAGCGGATTGGGTGAGGCCCACCTGCGGCACGGAGGGCAAGCCGTTGAAGTCTACCAATCTAAGTGTTAATCTCGCGCCAAAATATCCTCGCAGAAACAGGCTGTGTGTTTGACCCAACATTTGGGCGTCCCAGGCCCCAGTCAAGTTGACACAAAACCACCGCTCGCTGGAGGCCCACAAGGGCAGAGGAGCTGCCAAGGGTCAGAGCCCCCTCGTGGGACCAGGGGTGTTGCCCTTGTCCAACCAACAAACAGGCGCAGAGCACGGAGACAGCGAGATGAGGCCCCGTGCCTCAGAGGCTGTCCCCCGCCACCCTGCCCAACGGGGCGTCCGTGGGGTGTGTCGGGAGCACCCAGGCCAAGCACACGTGTCCCCTGAGGGGCCAGACGGGGTGGCCAGGGCAGCTCCTGAGCGTTGTTTCCAGGAACCACACTGCGGCGTCTCCTGTTGTTTGTTCCCTTCCCCTGGACCACCCAGAACCAAGGTCCAGGGCACGCGGGTGGAAGCAGGCACTTTGGGGACAAGCGGAGAGAGGGAAACGAGAAAAAAACGGAAAAACGTGCACGACAGAGAAAACAAGGCGCACGGTTGTGTCCGCAGTCCCCACCAGGATGGCCTCCCCTCGGAGGCCTGGCCGCTGCCCTCGCTCCCGCTGCCGCGGCCAGGGCTGGGCCCGGAGTGCTTGTGTCCCTGCACGGCCCTCCTAAGGCCTGAGCGCCAGGCGCAGTCCGCTACCCTGCGCAGGTGGCAGGGGCCTCTTGGACACGTGGCCTTTGAAAGTGTCAGCACTCAACGGCCGGGAGAGCGGCTGGGCCCGCCTCGAAGGCCGGAAAGGGGGCGTGGCCGCCGGGGAGCGCGCGCCGGGGCTAGTCCCGCGAGACCCCGCCGGGGCTGGGCGCGGCGCGCGTTGCCGGGACGACGGCGCCCGTGTACGCAGGCGCCGCGCGGCTTCGCCCCGCCCCCGCCGCCGCCGCCGCCGCGCCTTCCCCTTTAAGCCCCGGCCGGTCGCGACGCCGCTTCATGAATGGAGCCCACGTGACCAAACATCATGTGACGTCTGTGGAGCGGCGGCGGCGGCGGCGGCGGCGGCGGATCCCGAGCCTGGTCCAGCCCGGCCTTCCCAGCGCGCTCGGCTCGGCCCGCGCAGGCGGCGAGCCCCCATCCCGGGCCCGGAGCCCCCGCGCGGCCCAGTCTCGCGCAGCCTCGGAGCGCCCGCCGCCCCCCGCCCCAGCCTCGGCCCGCCCAGGCCCGCAGTGTGTTGGGTGAGTGCGGCGGCGGGGCCCGGCCGGGCGGGGGGCAGCGGGCAGCCAGGGGCTCCGGGCCGGGGTGCGGCCGGCTGGGCCGTGGCTCCCCTCGGCGGACCCTACAGGCACGGGCCGAACGCTCCTGGCTTCGGGTCTGCCCCGCTCCGTGCTGGCGGCCCGTGCCTCGATTTCCCTGTCGGGCAGGGCACTGCTGGCCCCAGCGCCCCGGGTGCTGGGGGGTGGGCCGCGTTGCCGGCGGAGGGCGGGCGGGCGGGCGGGCGGGGCGAGCGCGCGGCTCGCTCAGTGGCGGCTGGGGCGTCCTGGAAGGAGGGGCGGCCAGGGTGGCGGGAGGAAAGGGTGGGGTCGAGCGGGGCGCCCAGGGCTTCGCCGATGAGCCCCGTGGCCTCGGTCCGAGGTGCTGATTCATCAGGTGTCTGTGTCGGCTCCTTCCGGGCGCAGGGGTCCTTGGCGGGCCGGGGGAGGGCCGGCACGGGGGGCGCAGGGAAGACCCTGCTCGCGCCGGCTCCGCTCCGTCACACGCGTGCCAGAGCCCGAGGGAGACTTGCTGAGTCATCAGCATGAGGTCACTCGTTGCTCATCTCGGTGCCTGGGGGGATTTGAGCCAGGGCCGGGGGCCTGAAAGGACGGGAGAGAGGTGGAGGGGACCGTGGGGACGTGGGGATGGGGCTGGTCCCAGGGGTTGGGGCGCTTTTTAAAGTGTGGGCTGAGGTGCGAGTCGGAGGCCGGGTGGGGAGGAGGAAGTGGAGGGACCCACGATGAGGTAGCGCATGAAGCCCCTGACCTGTCCATCGCCTTCAGACGGGCTTTTCCCAGGCACCGGGTCCCCGACCCACGTCTGGGACAGTTCCCCAAACTGGGAAATAGTTCTCTGAGTGAGAGAAGGGGTGGAGCTTAGAGGGGCCGAGCGAGGGGATGGGAAGCAGAGGCTTTCCCTGTGACGGGTCTGGTCGGCAGGGCTGTGCGCCCTGGGGCGGGGAAGAGAGGGTGCCTTGACCAGAGAGGGAGACAGAGGCTGGGGAGGTCTGCAGGGAGGGGCAGCCTGGGTGGCGGGAGGAAAGGGTGGGGTCGGGTGGTGGCGCCCGGGGCTCTGTGAAAGAGCTGGGCAGAGTGCACCTCGTACTGCGTCTTGGGCGACAGTGGACAGGACAGTTGGCAAGGAGGTGCGGCTCTACCAGGAAATTGCAAAGGAAAGGAAGCAGCAAGGCTTAGACAGTGGAGACCGAGGTGCCCGGTGAGCAGGCCCTGCCCTCCTTGCAGCTGGGCTTTGGGGCCTGGGCTGAGGCTGCAGGTAGTGGGAGCTGGAAGGGTGCCTAGTCCTTAGGAGACAGCAGGTGGGCGGGCAGCGGGGCACGGAGTTTTCAGTCACCCCAGAGCTGTCCCCTGGAGGTTGGGCTCAGTGTCGTGCGTGTTAGCAGAGACTGTGGCCCTCTTGGGTGTCGGGCCGGGTGTGGGGACCGCAGGGAAGTGACAGCTTGAAGGTGGTGTGGCCTGGACCACCTCTCCCAAGTGTGAGGGTGGTTCCTGGCCTCGGGATGGGGAGCCTCTCTCCCCGGGGTCCATGGCTGGCCCAGGCTGCACTGGGGTTTGTCTCTGGGGATTCGCCCCCACTGCCGCCCACCCTCAGGGCGGGGCAGAAGCAGGTTTGCTGTTGTGCTACGTGAACCACGGTTTATGCTGGTAATGTTTATTAATGTGCTGGTTTCCATATAAGGACTGTAAACCTGATTTTGCCCCACCTTGTACACACACGCACACACAGCCCAGGGCTCAGAGGTGCCAGATGTTCTAACGCTCCAGCTGACCTTTTGGCTGGAATTTTATGTCCTAGGAAAATGCAGATTCCCAAGGGGCGTTTCTTTAATGCTTCTCAGTTACTTATTCTTTGGTGGGAGTTAAGTCTTAGACTTCTTTCAGAGAGGCTTTCAGTGGCTGAGGGCTTCTGGGAGACGGGAAAAGGGTAGGGTGGGCGTGAGGCTGGGCTAGGTTGGGGCGCCGGACTGGTGCTCAAGACGTGCCTGCCTGGGAGGTTGGCCGCGGGGTTTGCAGGCAGGAGCAGGGGCAGGAGCCAGCTGTCTTGCCTCCTTCCTGGAGTCCATGCTCTGGACTTGGGCCCAGGAGAAAGGGGCTGGGGCTGCCTGAATCGCCCTTCCCTCCGGGACTGGCTCAGCCCGAGTGCAAGGTCCAGGGTACTTTGGTGGCTCGGGGCCATCTGGGTCTTCTCTGCAAGGTGGGCCTGGCCTCTGGGGGAGCAGAGATGGGAGAGGCCTGGGGGCGGGTAGCTTCCTGATCCTGCCTTTGGGGTCCCATTCGCCTGGCTTCCAGAGGTGCTCCGGGCCATCACTCCCATCCCGTCCCCAAGGCGATCTGTCGGATCCCTGTGTGTTCCCCAGCGGGGAGGAGGCCCGGCCAGGAGGCTGGCTGCCCTGGCCTGGCTGAGGCCCGCCCCTCCCCCACGCGCTCCTGCACACCTTTGATTAGGCGGCCATCGCTGCGCTTGTGCTGAGTTCAGGCCTTCTGCGGAGGGTGAAATCTGTTGAGGAGGCACTTTTCTGTGCGATCTCGTCAGGAAGTCACCGCTGCGCTCAGCATTGGGGGTGGAGGGAGCAGGGCAGTGGAAGATGCCGGGGCTGGGGCTTCTCCTGTGGCGGGACAGCGGAGGACCCAGGGCCACGGCAGCCCGTGCTCCCAGCGGTGGCCCTGGGCCCTCAGGGCCTTTCCTCCCCCAGCTCTGGTGCATGCGTCCCCTGCCCTGGAGGAACCAGCTCTGGACCTCGGGCCAGCCGCCCGCCCGCCCAGTCTGCGGCTGGCTGCAGGGAGACGCCTGGTCCTCTGGTGCAGGGCTGGGTGGAGTGGGGTGGGGTCTGCCCTGGAGCCCACTTGCACCTCCACTTCCCCAGCTCCTGCCTCAGCTCCCAGTGAGGGTAAGACGCCACCCCCCAAGCCAGAATTGCCTGGAGGTCTGTGGCTTTCTCCAGGCAAGAGTCCTCTCAGCAGCCCAGCCCTTTACCTCCCTGCATCTAACCTGGGAAGCAGAGCGCACAGTGAGGGGCGCACAGTGAGGGGCGGGGGCGGCAGCTGGCCTGGGGGCAGCTGGCTCAGCCAGGGGCCTTGGGCCGAAGTGTGCAAAGTTGTTCCTGGCAGGGCTTTGGGGAGCAGAAAGTGAGGGCGGGGTGTGGGAAGGGTGACCGAGTGAGTTGGAGGGGTCCTTTGCTCCAGCCACCCAGGTCTTTGGCTTTTGCTCCCTGTCCTCTGGATGCTGACTCTGGACAGGGGTCCAGAAAAGCGGGGGCTGAGCCGGCCCCTGAAGGTCGAACTGCGGGCGCTCTTGCGAAACGCCCTGCACGGGGAGGGCAGGGGCACAAGATGCTGCAACCCAAAGCCACAGGATGGTTACTCCATCAGCCGCGGGATGCCCGCCGCCTGCAGGGTGCATGAGCTCCCGCCAGGGCCAGTTGGGTGTCCCGCTTGCCACTCCTTAAAGTGAGAAGTCTGGGAGGATCAGGAATCCCCCTCATCGCTCCCTCCGCCTGAGTGCCCGGCGGGAGTGGCCCCCCGAAGCCTCTGTGGGAGCAGGGCTTTGCCCCGGGCTGACTTAGGGGAGAGGGCTGTAGGCGCGGCGGGGGGGGACCTTTGAACACACACGTGCAGGGCGGCTGGCCCTTGCCCTCACCTGCAGCAGGCCCGGCTGGCCTTTCTGGCCCCAGCAGCTTTCTGCCCTGGCTGCTGGCCCCCTGGGGCTGTGTTGGCTCTGGGCCCCGGGAGTGCCTGGCCGGGGAGGGAGCCGCGGGATGTGCTGAGTCAGCATGACTCGCCAGGAACAGCCGCACCGGGCGCGCACTGGGGCTATTTTTAAAGCTCTGGGCTTCCTCCTGGGCCGGCCCCTCCTGCACCCTTCTCATCTCTCCCCCAGCCCCTTATCTTGCCCGGTCTTCTCACAGCCCTTCATTCCCCTTTCTCCCTTCGACCCTCCTAGCCTCCCAGCTGGTTTCCTAGGGGCAGGGTAGACAGGGAGCAGCCCCATTCAGGAGAGGCAAGGCTGGAGGGCAGTCCTGGGGCGAGGGCCGGTGGGGTGCGGGGCGGGGCGGGGGGATGGTTTCGGATCCTGACCTCTGCCCCCTATCTCGCACAGTGCCTGGTTGCCGTGCCCCCGGGGTATGACGACCCCCAATAAAGGAAACAAGGCCTTGAAGGTGAGCAGGCGGGGTGGGCGTGTCTCGGGGCGGGGGTGGCACAGGGCCGGCGGCCGCCCCACCCGTGACCCGCGTGTTGTGCCATCCCCGCCAGGTGAAGCGGGAGCCAGGCGAGAATGGCACCAGCCTGACGGACGAGGAGCTGGTGACCATGTCGGTGCGGGAGCTGAACCAGCACCTGCGGGGCTTGTCCAAGGAGGAGATCGTGCAGCTGAAGCAGCGGCGCCGCACGCTCAAGAACCGCGGCTATGCCGCCAGCTGCCGCGTGAAGCGGGTGACGCAGAAGGAGGAGCTGGAGAAGCAGAAGGCGGAGCTGCAGCAGGAGGTGGAGAAGCTGGCCTCAGAGAACGCCAGCATGAAGCTGGAGCTCGATGCGCTGCGCTCCAAGTACGAGGCCCTGCAGAACTTCGCCAGGACCGTGGCCCGCGGCCCCGTGGCGCCAGCGCGGGGCCCCCTGGCCGCCGGCCTGGGGCCCCTCGTCCCCGGCAAGGTGGCCGCCACCAGCGTCATCACAATAGTGAAGTCCAAGACGGACGCCCGGTCGTAGGGACGCGCACTTGCCCAGGCGGGTCTGCGAGGGGCCGTTAGGCGCGTGGCGAATTCGGCAGCCCTGTCCCCTTCTTCCTCCTTCCTCTCCCCTTCCTCTCCTACCTCTTCTCTTCCCTTCCCTGCGAAGCACAACCTGCTCCCCGGGGCGCCGGGCTGAGCCCCTTGATCTCGTCGTTGTCATCGTGTGTTTTGTATGTTGGGATTGGTCAGTTCGGCGGTGACGTGGGGTCGCCCCAGCCCCCTTTGTACCAAGGCCACGTGGGCTCGGAATCCAGAGTTGGCCCTGCGGGAACAGAGAAAGACCGAGCAAGGTGTGGGGCGCCAGTGACCCTGAGCGGGGGGGCTCCGGGGCACGGGGGCCGCTCCCTTCCGAGCGGCCCCCAGGCCCTGACAGCTGCTGGGCTGGCAGGGGGCTGCGTGGGCCACGCGCAGCGCGGCCGGCAGGCGTAGGCAGGCTCTGCTGCGGGGAGCCGGTGTCCTTGAGGGCCCTGGGCCGCCGGGCCGCCGGCTGGGGGGATGGGCGTCGTGTGGCTGAGGGCCGGGGGCCTTGGTGCGCTCGCCCGACGCATTGCACTGAACAAGACCGAATCACTGGGTGCGAGCATCTGCGAAGGGTGTGCCCGGTGTTCTGCGATGGGTCCCGTGTCACTGTTTACATGGCCTGTTTGTGTGGTTGCATAGCCCTTTATTTAAAAGAGAGAAGTTTCTTTTACGAAGTTATTAAATTATATGTTTAAAAGCTAAAGAAAAAAAAAAAAGAGCTGCAGAGTATTTATAAAACTGTCTTTTTACAAAAAACAAACAAGAACATTTGACCATATAAATGGAGAAGGGAAAATATAATAGAAACTTTGCTAGTTTAAAAAAAGAAAAAAAAACAAAAAAAAATCCCTTTCTTGTAAACTTACAGACAAGTCTTTGTGGCTGTTGGAGTTTAGTTTTTATATACACAGAGTTATCAGATGTTATTTATAAAACTTAGTTTAAAAAAGACAAAAAAAAAAGCCAAGCTGCGAGCGACCAGAAGGCGCGTCCTGCCGTCCTCTTTGCTGACTCTTTTGCAATTGTACCGAAAGTGACTTACTCCCTCGCCCTCCTGCTTCCGTCCGTCCCTGCCGTGCAGCGTGTCGTGCCTGGTGAGGTCTTGTGCGGCGTCTCGTGCTGGTGCTTCTGGTGACCTTTGACCTGTGGGTGTCACTTCTTGTGTCTGTTTTCCCGTGTTTGTTTTTGGATTTGGTTGTGTTTTGCTTCTTCTGGCTTGCTGGGCTCACGCCGGGGTGCTGGGCGGGACCTGCTCCAGCAGAGTTTCGGGGAGAGGGGAGGTTCTGTGCCCACCAGCCCGGTCTCTTTGGCCTCAGCCCCGCCCCAGGCCCCCAGGAGGCCCGGCCCTGCCCTGCCGCTCCCAGACCTGCCGCCCTTGGCTCCGCGTGCGTGCGTCAGGCTCAGGCTGATGCAGTGGCCGGGTAGGTGAGACGGGGACTGTCCCGGGGGGCCCCCACACTACTTCCATGCCCAGCGCCTCTGGCCTGGGGCCTTGTGGAGACCAGGGAGTCACTGTGGGTGCCCACGGGGCCACCGCCAGCTGCCTGCCCCCACCTGTCTTCCTTCTGGTGTTCAGCCATCCTGCTCCGGCTCTGGCCGCTGAGCCCAGCTTCGTTCCTCTAGGCTCCACGTGGGCCTCAGCAGGGGCACGCAGGGGCCCACGGACCCCAGAGCTGTGTGTGCTGCGAGGCGGTGCTTCTTCTGCAGGCCAGGTGGTTCTGGGGACTGTCGGGGCGGCCCCCTTGGCCTGCCTCAGGGCCCAGGGTCGCCACCAGTGCCAGATAAGGGCTGCATCTCCAGGGCCGGGCCCCGTTCCTCCTCTCCTCTGAACACGTTGGCAGCTCTGGGCTTTGCGCCTTCTTCCGCCTCCCTTTGGGATCTGTGTCTTCCAGGGATCCGATGCTTGGCTGGCAGGGGTACTTGTCTCTGGGGCTGAGCCCGCCTCCCCGTCCCGGTCACTTGCGGGAGGCAGCCGGTCTCCCAGGCGCGCCTGGGAAAGCTCCTCATGGGCACGGGGGCCTGCGGGGTCCGTCCCAGGCTAATGCCGTCTCTGCGGGCCTCAGCCTCTCCTCGGGGGTGCTGGCTTCCCTGGGCGCCCCGAGCCCCTGAAAAGCATAGAAGTGCGCAGTGCGGCCTGACAGGGGTCACCTGGCGGGCAGCAGGGTTCTCATCCCCGAGCTTGGCCCCGCAGGCCTGCGGGGCGGGGCGGGGGCGCGGCGTCAGCCTCTGCCTTCTCTGCGGGCTTCTCTGCGCCTGGGGTCTCGGAGGTGCTCCCACCTGTGCCCAGGTCAGCCCGCAGTGCTGGTTCCGACTGTTGATGCCGCACCGCGCGGTGGCTTCCTCCCCTCCAGTCTGCCTCCGCCTCCTAGGGTCCAGGCGAGAGTTGTCGATGGTTCCAGCAGCAGTGCGTTCTCACCGAGTCGCGAGAGCCCCTAGAGAAAGGCCGCGCCTCGGCCCGGCAGTGCGGGGGGCGCGGGTAGGCTCTCCATGTCCGCTTCCAGCCCCCGCTTTTGCCTTGGCTGGGAGGCGGTTGTCCCTCCTGGCACACTCCCGCCAGGCTGTGGGCCGGGCTGCCGTGGGCGACAGGGCGCGAGGAGGGCTCGCGAGTGGGCGGGTGGAGCAGAAACGCAGGTCCTTGTGTGGTTCAGGGGAGGAGTGTCTGGAGTTAGTGAGGCCATGGTTCCTTTCCGAGTTCTGGATTTGAAGCGGCTGCCCCTCGGGTTGGGGGAGCATCTAGTTCCTGTCAAGCCAGCCCTGCGTGGCCGCTCCACCCCTTGTCCCCTTTACCTTGGTTTCTTGACAGTAGGCTCTGTGTTCACATGTGACTGGTTGGTGTCTTTCTGGTTCTTGTTAATTCAGTTTTTCTACTGTGAGGGTGTCGTATTCCCTCTTTCTCTACTCAACTTTCCTGACACAGTGAATCGAGGGCTTTGGCCAAAGCCAAGTCTCCCAAATGTGTCCACTAAGTAAACCATACTGTGCACCTCCCCTCCCACCTTGCCCTCACCCAGCTCCTCCCCTACCCCATAATGGACACTCAGATTTCAGAGGAGAACCCTGTGGGAACAGGGCAGCTCCTTCCCCGAGCATGGCCCCAGGGAGACCTTCCCAAGCTCCCGGCTGCTGCTCCAGGTGGCACTGCCCTTAGTGCAGGTGAGAGGGCGTGGCTGCTCCGTGGCATCTGGGAGGTGTGCTTGTTTCTGACGGGGCTTTTCTCTTGCCCCGCGCTTCGAGTCCGCGGGCACAGACCTGACCGTCAGCAGCAGCCGTGGTGGTCAGTGCTGGGGCCTGGAGCGCTGAGGTGCTGCAGTCCGCTTTGGGACCGGCAGTTAAGCCCCATCTGGTCCCTGCTGCCTCCATGTCTGAGGTGGGTTGTTGGCCAGAGCTCCCATCCACAGCTGGGAAGCCTGAACCACAACCTAGAGCACCATTTCCGTTCTGGGATCTTGTAAGTTACTTTTTTAGGTTGTGGTTTGGTGAAAGGAACCAACATATTAACGATTTTTTTCCCCCAGAAGCCACTAAATAATTCTTTTTGGCGCGTTTTTGCCTTCCTGTCGGCTCTCTGGTTTTGGAGCAGGTGGGGAGATGGGTGTGCCCTGGAGGCGGGCGGCCTGCCCTGCCTCTGGCCCGTGTGTCCTGGGCATGTGCCGTACCTGTTGGGCCAGTGGCACGCAGTTGCACCCCACCCTGGAGCAGCAGCCTCGATATGTGGGTGTCCCCAGTGAACTATGAGGAGGGACCCTGCCAGCAACCTCCTGTCCCAGACCCTTCCTTCTTCCCGTCCCCTCAGTCTGCTAGTCCCGGAAGCCTTTAACCAAACGGGAGCGGGCGCAGAAAGCCTTCTCCTGGCATCTTAGGGCAACAGGACAAGGGCTGCCCAGTGTGCCCTGCTCTGCGGCTCTCCTGGCGCTGAGAGGGTGGGTCCAAGCAGAGTCGTTCACACCCTGCCTGCCCTGCCCGGGGCTGAGGCCGGGGGAGGTGGGAGTACCCTGGGGTCTGCCCAGCGGCGGGGGTGGTTGGAGGTCCAGGTTGGGGGGGGCCTCGTGGGGGCGGCCCGCCTTGGCGCCACCCTGCCCTGTGCAGTATTTATTGCTAAATTATTGTCCAGGAGGGGCGGCACTGGGCCAGGCCCCGGGTATTTATTGCTGTACATAGTGTATGTTTGTGATATATGAGGTTTTCTTTATTTTGTATATGATCAATAAACTCCTTTTAAAAAGACTGGCAGGTGCTTCTTTTGGGCGGTGCGGGCGGGGCCGGAAGGGAGGGGCCTCGCGCGCATGCGTCAGCGCGCGGCCTGCCGGGAGGCGGAAGCGGAAGCGCACGTCTCCCCGGGAGCGATGGCAGCCGGGGGTCTGAGCCGCTCGGAGCGCAAGGCCGCCGAGCGGGTGCGGCGGCTGCGGGAGGAGCAGCAGCGGGAGCACCTCCGCCAGGTACGCCGCCGCCGCCGCCGCCGCCCGCCCCGCCCTGCGTCCCCGGCCTGCGCCGCGCTCACCGCCCGCCCCGCGCCCGCAGGTGTCGCGCATCCTGAGGAAGGCGGCGGCCGAGCGCAGCGCGGAGGAGGGCCGGCTCCTGGCGGAGAGCGCAGACCTGGTGACCGAGCTGCAGGGCCGGAGCCGGCGGCGCGAAGGCCTGAAGCGGCGGCAGGAAGAGGCGAGTCCCGCGGCGCCCGGGCCGGAGCCGGGTGGGGGCGGGCGGGGTGGGGCGGGGCTCACAGCCAGCCTGGGGGTCTCGACAGGTGTGCGATGACCCCGAAGAGTTGCGGAGGAAAGTGCGGGAGCTGGCTGGCGCCGTGCGGAACTCCAAGTACCTGGTCGTCTACACAGGCGCGGGGATCAGCACGGTAGGGAGGCGAGGCGCGGGGGGGCCGGCTCCCGGATCCGGGAGCAACTCGAGCCGCTGGGACGGGGCGGTCCTCCGGCGCCCCCTTTTGGGGGGTCTGACCCGCAGGCCGAGTCCAGATTCGCCAAAAATCCCTTAACAGCGGCCCTGAGGTTCTTTCCTTAGAGAAGGTGAGATGACTCTGCTTGAAACCTTGCTAAGTAATCGGTTTAGAAGGCTTGAGCTGTGTGCCGCGCCCAGTTAGAGGCGGGGAAGGAAAAAACAAACGGACTTGTAGGCCCCCATTTGAAGTTAAGGCGGTGAATGTACTGGGGTGAAGGCCAGACACGCCCTCTGGGGTCTCAGAGTTGGGAATCCATCCCACCTGGTTTTTCGTAGGGTGTGGCTCTGAGTCCGGGCCTTGACAGGTGGGTGAGGTTTTCACAGGCAAAGACGAGAGGAAGACTCCAATCGGAGCGGGCCCAGAAGGAAGGACGCCAGGTGCGCTGAGGGCTCTAACTTAGAAGCAGCTGGGGCTCAGGCAGCCTGGCCTCCCCTCCACAGTCACGTGTGACTGCCTGCCACCAGATTATTTCAAAGTGGTCAACGCGTCCCTTGGGGAGCTGTCAGAGACTCGTTAATTTGCTCTGAGCTTTACTGTGGGGTTCTGCGTTTTGATGTGAGTCCAAGCTACTGATCTGGGTGGGCATTTTTCTGAGCTTTAGCAGCAGGGAGCACACAGGGCTCCCCAGGAGGGAGACCATTCAGTCCAAGGAGCACGAGGCACCTGGATCCTGGCCCGCTTTCTGTCTCTGGGTGGCTTTGTTTCCCTGGATGGGGAACCTGGGAGATCCAGTCGTGTTTACCTCGCCAGGAGAGGCCGGCCTGCCCTTGAGGAGGTAGAGCAGAGAGCACTTCCATCATCAGAATGGTAGAATTCGGACAGAGGTGGATCTCACCTAGGGGTTCACCTGTCTTCTGCACTGGCTAGGCCCTGGGGACACAGGTGAGCCTAACCAGTGCCCCCCTCAGTGCGGGGGACAAGTATGGCCGTACGTGGTGCTGGAGGAGCCCCCAGAGGGGGGCAGGACTCACTGGAGTCATGGAGGAGGAGCTGGAGCGGGTGGGAGTGGGGGTCCAGGCACCAGGAAGGGCACATGCACACTCCCTCTGGGTTCCGGCAGGCAGAGCAGGAGATGCTGAGCCTGTGGGGCGAGCAGAGGCCAGTCGAGGGCCAGCCTGCCCTGTGTTGGGAGAAACACCTGCTTCCTGTCCTTGGGGACCCTGCCAGCGCCTACAGCGACACCTGCTCACTGGGCTTCCCTTCCTTTTGCCCACGCAGGCGGCCTCTATACCGGATTACCGGGGTCCTAATGGAGTGTGGACACTGCTTCAGAAAGGGAGGCGTGTTAGGTAAGTAGCCGCATACAGCCTTCCTCTGGGGTGAGCAGGGACCGCACGAGCCTGACCTCTGCTTCCCTCCTGCCTGGCAGTGCTGGCGACCTGAGTGAGGCCGAGCCCACCCTCACCCACATGAGCATCGCCCGCTTACACGAGCAGAAGCTGGTAAGCGCCCCGGGTGGCTGGCTCGGGTACTCGCCGCGTCCGTGGCATGGGGCCTGGAGTGCTGCCTTGGCGCTGCTTTTCCGAGGGGACAGGGCAGCTTCTCTGAGTCCACACGGAAAGGGCTCTCAGGAAACCTGGAGACCCTCTGCTGAGCCCCTTCAACCAAGGGGGCCTTCCAGGACCTGGTGACCCGAAAGAACATCCTGGCCCCGAGCCCTGCCTGGCAGAGGGGAGGGTGCAAACATTTGCCCTCCCGGCTGCACCAGGTGCTTCGGAGTTGCCACGGGTGGGCCCTCCTCAGTCCTGCCAGGACCAGCCTGCTTCCCTTGTCCCGGGGCGCTGGGCCGGCCGAACCTGGAATGGTTTCGCCGCCGATGTGGCCACCCCACAGCCCTCCCGCTGAGTGCCGCCTGGTGTCCCCTCCAGGTGCAGCACGTGGTGTCTCAGAACTGCGACGGGCTCCACCTGCGGAGCGGGCTGCCTCGCTCAGCCATCTCAGAGCTCCATGGGAACATGTACATTGAAGTGAGCTGTCCCTCTGGGGCTCGGGGGCCTGGGCGGGCCCGCGGCTCCTGCTCACAGTGCCTTCCCCCCGCCTTAGGTCTGCACAGCCTGCACCCCCAACAGGGAGTACGTGCGGGTGTTCGATGTGACGGAGCGCACGGCTCTGCACCGGCACCAGACGGGCCGGGCCTGCCACAAGTGTGGGGCCCCGCTCCGGGACACCATTGTGCACTTTGGGGAGAGGGGGACCCTGGGGCAGCCTCTGAACTGGGAGGCGGCCACCCAGGCTGCCAGCAAAGCAGACACGATCCTGTGTTTAGGCTCCAGCTTAAAGGTACACAGATGGCACCGTGGATGGGACGGGGGTGACCCTGCTGGCCACTGGCCAGCTCGGCGTTGGACCCCAGCTTCCTATAGCCTTCTTCCCGGGTGTGTGTGGTCTGTCTGCTCCCACAGGTTCTAAAGAAGTATCCGCGCCTCTGGTGCATGACCAAGCCCCCCAGTCGGCGGCCCAAGCTCTACATTGTGAACTTGCAGGTAACTCGGCGCTCAGAGCCACATCCTTAGGCTCCCCTGGGACGTTCCCGTCCTGCACTCACGCACCTCAGGGAGGAGGGAGGTGCTGACCTCGCTCGCCTCCCTCTGTCCCCAGTGGACCCCGAAGGATGACTGGGCTGTCCTGAAGCTCCACGGGAAGTGTGATGACGTCATGCAGCTCCTCATGGATGAGCTGGGCCTAGAGATCCCTGCCTATAGCAGGTGAGGGGATGCGGGCCCACCCCCTTCCCGCCCCTGTGTGGATGGGCTGTGTCTGTCTTCTCTGTGAGCTGAGCAGAGAGAGTTTGGAGGTGTTGCTGACAGTGTCTGAAGCGTGACTGCGGTGTGGTGGCCTCTGCAGGGACCGGCCAAGGCGCCCTGGCCGGTGTGACTCCCTGTGGGGAGAGGGAGTCTGCCGCCGCTGTGTGCCTGGGTGTTGCCCCGTTACGCCGGCCGGCCGGCCTGGAGGGGGCGGCCCCTGAGCGGCAGCGCCGCCTGAGCAGGATCTCGGCGCACTTGGTTTGGGGAGCTGGCAACCTTGGGGAAGCTTAAAGAAACTGTTCCTTAATGCAGAATTTGTGATAATTTAGACATGGTCTGTGTATTGAGTAAAAAGTTTACACTTTCTTTCTCTGTGAATTTTCAGGGTCTTATAGGGGAAATCAATAACTTCTTTTAATCAAAGGGTTCAAGAATTAAGGATCCCTTCACCTTCTGGGCCTGGCAATTCTTGTATGTTATGTTTGTGGTGTTCTGTAATGTGGGCCTATCGTGTACTGTACTTTTTTTTTTTTTTTTTTTACATTAACTTAGCTCATTTTCCTTATCAGTGCTTATCTGTATCTTAAGTTTATACTATGTGGTTCTACATCTCAGACACATGACCTCACCCGGGAGCCTGTAGGCCACACCTCCCTAGTCAGCTGGTCTTCCCTCCCTTCGAGCCTCACAGTCTGGGAAGGGGGAGAGGGTCTGGCCCACCTGCCCCTGGCCTTACAAGCGAGAGTTGGGTCGCTAGTGACTCGTCCCTGCTGGGACGACTGCCCCCCACCTGTGCGGGCCTGGCCGCCAGGTCACCGACGAGGACACGTCCTGCCGAGGCCGAGCTGGTCTGGGAGCGTACCCCTCCTGCAGCTCAGGAACGGCGCTGCCGCCAAGCCGGGCCTGCCCTGGCTCAGACCGGGAGGGGGCAGGGCCACTCCTCAGTCAGCTCTCCCGTCCTGGGGCTCGCTGCGGCTGCGAGCGGCCTGCCGGCGCGCCTGACCCGGCCTTCCCCTTTCGGTAGGTGGCAGGACCCCATCTTCTCCTTGGCGACCCCGCTGCGGCCCGGCGAAGAGGGCAGCCACAGCCGGAAGTCGCTGAGCAGAAGTCGAGAGGAGCTCCCGGCGGAGGCCCGGGACGCACCGCTGAGTTCAACCCCAGTCCTGGGCGGCTGGTTTGGCAGGGGCTGCGCCAAAGGCGCGAAGAGGAAGAGAGTGACATAGCCTGGGGCTTGACTGGGAATAGCATTGGCACTTTGCGGATGGCTGGAGCCCCGGTTTGGGCTGGCGGCACCCCGAGGGCCGGGACAGCCCCATGTGGTGCAGTGAGAATTCTCCGGGGGTGACATCTTCACCGGGACACGCTTAGCCATTTGTTCTGATGGGCGCCCCCTTGCGCTGCTGTGGGCCTGACAGATGACCCCAGGCCCATCCAGGCTCTCCCTGAAGAGGGGGCAGCCACGCCTTCCTGCGGACAGAACCTGGGGCGTCCCAGGGCTGGCCAAGAGGAAATGAACTCGGCCTTACCCCGCTCACCGGGCTAGTCCGGGCTCGCCCTGCGTCTCCTCCCTCCGAATGCTAACTTGATGCGAACCTCGCTCTGCTTTGGTATGCGGCCAAGGGGCGGTTTGGAGCCTTCGCTCTCGGCAGGCCTCCTTATTGCCATTAAACGTCTGTGCACTGTCTTCCCCTGCCACTGCGTGACTGCCTTCCCGACGAACGGCTTTGGGGCATTGGGGGGAGGGTCGGGGGGAGGTGTTCCACGTGGTTCTGCCCCGCCCCCTCCGCCAGGTGTGAGCTGGGGACGGGCGCGTACGCCATTGGCTGCAAGCCGAGGGAAGGGGGAGGAGCTCAGCCCTGGCAGCAAAGGCCACTGGTCCTGTGCAGAGGGCGGGGCTCGGCTCTGCCCAGGCCACTGGAGCACACCATTGGTCAAGAGACGGGCGGGTGGGGCGGGGCTCCGCAAGCAGGGTGGCGCTTGCTATTGGTCGCGCGTGGCTCCTGAGGCCCGCGTGACAGAGCGTGCGCTGGGCAGGGCGGGGCAGGTAGCACCGTTCGGAGTTTCAGAGCCGCCCCGGGGAGCTGCTGCTGTTGGGACATGATCCGAAACGGACACGGGGTGGCGGTCAGCGCCGAGCGGCCGGGCCCAGGGGGCAGGCCGGCTGTGCGAGTGTGGTGCGACGGCTGGTGAGCTCGGGGGCGGGCGTCGGCGGGCGGGGGACGGGCCGCGGTTGGCCGCTGTGGTGCCGCCCGGAGAGGCGTGTGGGAGCTGGCCGTGGTCCGGGGCCTTTGCTTGGGGCCAGGGTCGGCCGTCGTCGTTGGCGGGGCCGGGGAGGGGGTGGCGGGCGGCAAGCGGCAGACTCGGGCTGCCGGCGCCCAGAGGATGCCTGGGACCCGGTTCCGCCCCCGCCGCGGCAGCCCAGCGTGAGGGGCCACGACGCAGGCCGGGCCACGGGGACTTGCAGGGTTCTGGGAGACGCGTCCTTCTGCAGGCGCTCCTTCCCCAACGTTTGCCGGTAAACCGCAGACGCAGCCCGGCCAGCCCGCCCAGCTCGTGGACCGCGGTGCCGAAAGTCGCGTGTTGAGTTTATTGGTTTCAGTGCCGTCTGAAGGAGCCAGGCACACGGGGTGTTCCCCGGAGGCGTCTATGTCAGGCTCCCCAGCTTGGCCAGCAAGGCCAGAGGTTCCCCAGGGTGCCTGGGCAGCGTGGGCGCAGGAATTGCGCGACTGTCCAGGACCCCCACTGAAGCCCCCCCCCCGCCCCCCCCACGCTGCCCTCCAGCCCTCTCTTCTGCGGGGCTAGGCAGCAGCGCTGTTGGGGTCTGTTTGGGGCTGTCAGTGATACCTTGTCCCCTGCGGTGCTTCCTCAGCCCTTTCCTGGGGGAGGCAGAGAAGGAAAGTGCCCGTGTGCCCTTATCAGCCATATCTGCACCTGAACCGCCTTGGGCAGAGGGAGTGTGGCCTCGTGTCCGTGGACTCTGACCTTGGTCCTGGCCAGCAGGCCCTTGTCCCCGCGGCCACAGTCACAGACTGCAGTGATTGGGACACGCCCCAGCCCCAGTGCCACCCCGCACTTCGTGCACCCCCAGGCCCAGCCTGTCCAGTGGGCATGGGGACTGGCCGGGGTGCCCCTGGATTTGGACTTCTTTCTTCTCTAACGCCAGGGCCAGAGCCATGGGCTTGGCTGCCGGAGCCTGGTGTGGTGAGACGGGGGTTGCAGGGGGCCCTCAGTGGAACGGCTCTGAGCCCCCTGGAGAAGCAGGGCAGCTTTGCCTACTCAGAGGGCGGTGTGGGGCTGGAAGGAGCAGAGTGAGCGCGAGGGCACAGCTCGGGCTGCAGCGCAGTGCGGGCCTGTCTCCCCGGCCCTGGCAGGACGTGCGTGGGGCCCAGCCGCAGCAGCTGCCGCCCGCGGCCCTCGGGGTGAGAGTGCATGCCACCCAGGGGGTAGAGCCTGGGGGTGAAGCCCTTGGACCCGGGGGCAGGGCGGTGGCGGTGGGCCCGCTCGTGGAGTGTCCGGGGGCCGTGCGGAGCAGCAGGGTTCCCAAAGCCAGCATCGTCCTCGTTCTTGGTTGGACTTTGTTTCACGTTGGCCCCAGAGACTGTCCACTTGCCTCAAAGCAGCAACGAGTGTAGCTCAGTCTTAATTCTGCGGCTTAAAGGGACTGTCATGGCACCTGGCATCTGAGAGGGCCCAGAGGGCTGTGCATCCCCCGGAGTGGGGAGCGTGGGCTGTTCTGTGTGTGCTCCAGCCCCTGGGCACTTGCCGAACCAGGCCCTGGGCCAGGGAGCAGTGCGCCCACCTCCCCTCCGAAAGCCCAGCCCAGCCAGACCCTGCGGAGAAGTTCCTGGTGGTGGCTACTCAGAAGACTTTCTAAGGAAGCCACAAAGGGGCCCTGCTCTACCCCCTTTGCCACCAAGGGCTGCTCGGTCCCAGTCCTCCCCAGCCCAGGGACTGACTGCCCTGCCCTCCCTTCCCCGCAGCTATGACATGGTGCATTACGGCCACTCAAACCAGCTGCGCCAGGCCCGGGCCATGGGCGACTACCTCATCGTGGGTGTGCACACTGACGGTAGGCTGGGGCTGTCACACCTCCCTTCCGCCCCCCCGTGCCCACCTGGGGGCTGCCCCCAGCATCACCTGGGACTCCGGTTGGAGGAGGGGACGGCGCACTTACCCAGCAGACCGTCCTGAGCGGCTGTGCCAGTCGGAGCAGGGCAGGGTGGTGGTCGCTCGGGTGTGGGAGGGCGCTCCCGAGGAGGGGCCGGTGAGCACGCAGGCCAGCCCGGCACGGGTCACCAGCCTGTCCGCCCCTCTGCTCTGGCCCTAGAGGAGATCGCCAAGCACAAGGGCCCCCCGGTGTTCACGCAGGAGGAGAGGTACCGGATGGTGCAGGCCATCAAGTGGGTGGACGAGGTGGTGCCGGCGGCTCCCTACGTCACCACGCTGGAGACGCTGGACAAGTACAGCTGCGACTTCTGTGTCCATGGCAGTGAGTGGGCAGTCGGGCCAGGCCCAGACCGCCGGGGTCACAGGAGGTGCTAGGCCTCTTCGTGCTTTGGGGGTCCCTGAGCCCTTTGGGGACCTGAGAGCACTCTGGGTCCTCCTCTAGAAATGAGCCCAGGCCACAAGGGTTGGCCTGGGAAGAGGAGTTGTGAGCCCCAAAAATTTTGATGACTTTGGATTAATCCTTGTTCCTGTGTGTGTGTCACCTCTTAGATGACATCACGCTGACTATAGACGGCCGGGACACCTATGAGGAAGTGAAGCAGGCTGGGAGGTACAGGTGAGCCCCACCTCGGGCCCTTTCGAGGACTGGGACACAGCGCGTCCGGGCCGCGGTCTGTGCTGCCGTGTCCACAGCTGGGGGCCGGGAGTGCTGGGCAGCAGAGCGCCCCCCGTCTTGGTCAGAGCTCAGAGCACCAGGGACATGCCCACCTGTGCACAGTGCGGCCAGGAGGCTGGGATGCCTGAGGTGGGGTGGCGGGAGAGCTCCGACCCCACTTCCCCCGTGGCCCCCTCTGTCCCCAGAGAGTGCAAGCGCACCCAGGGCGTGTCTACCACGGATCTCGTTGGCCGCATGCTGCTGGTCACCAAGGCCCATCACAGCAGCCAAGTGAGTCTTTGGGGGTGGGGGCCGAACCTCCGCAGTCCCCCGACTGAGGACATTGCTGGGAAACGAGGAGGCATGTTCACCCTGTCTTGCCCTTCCGTGGACCCAAGGACAGTGGGCTTCAGCGTCCCAGGGCTGGCCAGTTCTGGAGGGCGAGGCCCCCAACGCCCGCCCCCTTCCCCGCAGGAGCTGTCCTCGGAGTACCGGGAGTACGCAGACAGCTTCGGCAAGGTGGGTGTTGCCCAGGGCCTCAGCCCCTACCCCGCTTCCTGCCTCCGGGTGCGGACCAGGACTGACCAGCGCTGGCCAAGGAGGAGCGAGCCAGAGAGGCTTTTTCCAAAGACTCTTCCCAGGGGACCAGCGGTGGCCTTTGGGGTGTGGGTTCCCACAGGTGCTGTGTCCGTTGGCCGCCCTCCTCCTGGACCGAGGTGGTGGCGGCTGCAGTGCCTGCTGTGACCGTGGGGCAGGGCCACAGTCCCACCATCCCCAGGGGACCCACCCGGCCTGGCCATGGTGTGGGTAGGAAGCAGCGCCGGAGCCAGGAGTCAGCTCGCGGCTGCAGCTGGGGTTCAGAGTCCTGCCCTGTACCCCCACATCTGCTCCCCCTACCTCACACCTGTGTCCCCTGGGCAGGCGGGCAGGCAGGCAGGCATGTGCAGGCAGCTCCAGGCTCCTGTGCCTGCAAGGCCTCTGTTGCTGATCAGAGCCCGGTTGGCTTACAGTGCCCAGGTGGGCGGAACCCCTGGACGGGGGTGTCCCAGTTCCTGCAGACGTCACAGAAGATCATCCAGTTTGCTTCAGGGAAGGAGCCTCAGCCGGGGGAGATGGTCATTTATGTGGCCGGAGCCTTCGATCTGTTCCGTATCCTCTGCAACCAGGGTGGGGGTGCCCTGGCCCTTTCCTCTGTGTGTCCACGCCTGCGCCATGGAGGACCCCTCGCTTCTCGAGGCCCTGGGGCGGGGTGGCTGTGGGGACGCCGCGGTTGGCGGGAGCGCCGGGGGCGGGCAGACAGCAGGTCCTGCCCCACCACTTGCTCCTGAACCTGGGCACAGACATCGGGCACGTGGACTTCCTGGAGAAGGTGCACGGCCTGGCGGGGAGGCCCTACGTCATCGCCGGCCTGCACTTCGACCAGGTCTCGGCTCCAGGCAGCTGCTCGCGGGGCCCGCGGGGCGGGCACACGGGGCCGTGGGGAGCGGGGCCCTGGGTGCTGACGGAGGCTGGGCTCCGCGAGACGGCGCTGTCCTCTAGGCCTTCCCCACGCTGGTGGGCACCCCCCAGGGGCTGCTGCGCGGGCGTCTGCTGACTGCCCCCGCTCTGGCCTTAGGAGGTCAACCGCTACAAGGGCAAGAACTACCCCATCATGAACCTGCACGAGCGGACCCTGAGCGTGCTGGCCTGCCGGGTGAGCGTGGGGCGGGGCAGGGGCCCACTGGGGGCCCCCCTGAGCTCCTGCGTCCCCCCTCTGTCCGGTGGGTCCCAGTTAACCAGCAGCATTCTCTGCCCCGCAGTACGTGTCGGAGGTGGTGATTGGGGCCCCGTACGCGGTCACGGCAGAGCTGCTGGACCACTTCAAGGTGAGGCTCCTGGGGGCTGGGGCGGCCTCCCCAGGGGAGCGGACTGTGCGGGGTGATGCTGGAGGTGCTCCCTGACCCCTGCTCCCTCCGCAGGTGGACCTGGTGTGTCACGGGAAGACGGAAATCGTGCCTGACAGGGACGGCTCTGACCCGTACCAGGTGGGGCGTGCTGGGCCTGAGCCCAAGCCGGTCTGGGGAACGGGTGCGGTGGCCGCCGCTGCTCTGAGGGCCCATGGTCCGTGGAGGCAGGACACTAATAAATGAGAGTAACCGTCCCTGCTGCACTGGGGCACCACGTAGCCGCCCGGGGACCCAGAGGCGGGCCTGCATCTCCCTCCTCTTCCCACCTCCAGGAGCCCAAGCGGAGGGGCATCTTCTGCCAGGTGGACAGCGGCAGCGACCTCACCACGGACCTCATTGTCCAGCGCATCATCCAGAACAGGTGAGGCTGCTGCTGGGCCGCAGGGTGCACAGAGCCCGAGGCCCTGGCCGCGCTCGGCTTACCCCCGCTGGTCCCCAGGCTGGAGTACGAGGCCCGGAACCAGAAGAAAGAGGCCAAGGAGCTGGCCCTCCTGGAGGCCAGGAGGCGGCAGGAGGCGCAGCCCAAGAAGGAGAGTGACAGTGCCTTCTGACGAGGGATGCCGGTCACCGAGAGCCCCGGCGCTCGGCCTGCTCCCCACCCTGCTTCCCACGCCGTGGCGTCTGGCTCCCGTGGCTTTAGCAGCGCCGCAGCGCCCCCCCTTAGCTGCCCGGCCCCGGGAGGGCTGGGGGGGAGGCTGCCCCCCCCCGCGCCCCCCACAGGAGGCACCGTTAGGCAGCTGCCCTTGCACCCTCCCCTTGAAGCTGCACAGGGAGGCGGCCCAGCAGGCAGGATGAGCTGGGGGTGCCGGCGACCAGAGGGGAGCCGCCCTGCGTGCCTGGGGAGGCCCCGCTCCCGCCCTGCCGGCTGCACTGCTGCCCCTCCATCGCACCTCCCCGGGAGGCTCCTGCAGACCCCAACTGACTTCCTGCCCACCCATCTCGGCGAGAGTCCACTTCAGGGAACAGTGACCCGAGGGCCCGCGGCCTTTCCTCCTCAGGGCGCGGACCAGCCCGCCTCCTGCACCGGCCCCTGCCTCGCGCTGTGTCCCTGGTGCCCCGGCCTCGCTCTGGGGCCCTTCGCCCTGGCCAGCCCCTGTTCTCCCCACAGACTTCGCGGTTTTGTGCGTAACTGGCTGGTGTGCAGCCCAATAAAGCTGTCGGAGGCGCCCTGTGTCAGGCTGTCGCCCTGCTGCCCACCCCCACCTGGCGCGGAGGGGCCGCAGGCGTCCTGGCCGCCAGTGCGGTGACAGAACGAGAGGAGCAAGGGCAGGCATCCTCAGCCTGGGGCCTGTCACCAGGAAGACGAGGGGCCGGGCCCCCCGCGCAGGAAGGACTGGGGTCCACAGAGTCCCAGGGTCTCCCGCACGCGTCAGCCCCGCCTGGAGCAGCCGGTGGCTGCAGGGTCGCCTCTGGGGCGGGCGGGGGCCCCGGGAGCTGGGCCCGTGGGAGCCCGTGTGCCTTCTCCGGGCGGGGCCGGTGCTGCCCTCTGGTTTGACTCTTGTGTTGATTATAGAGAGAAACAGATGTTTGTCCGCGCACTCGCTCACTCACCGATTCTGGGGTGCGCCCTGGCCAGGGGTCTGACCTGTGCGTCCTGGCCTATCAGGACAACGCTCTGACTGACCCAGCGACCCGGCCAGCGCTTGAGCCATTTATTTCTATTCTAAAGGTTTTATTTATTTGCGTTGAGACAGAGGGAAGAGGAGGGAGAAAGGAGGAAACGCCCATCAGTCCCCTCACCTGCCCCCACCTGGGCTGCGCAGCCCAGGCCTGTGCCCCGACTGGCAGGGGGGCCTTCCGGTTTGCAGGACGGCCCCCGGCCTGTTGAGCCACAGTGGCCAGGGCTCGATTTTATTCTCGGGGTCAGACTCAGAACCCCTGGCCGGACGCGGGAACAAGGCGACTGAAGGCTCACCCACTGTCCCCCTCACCGAGTCGGGGCCACGGAGCTATGAGAGGCCCAGGGCCTGCCCTCCTCCTCCACCCCATCTGGGCCCCCCAACCTGAGGAGTCCTATGGTGCCAGGCCTGCCCACACTCACACCCCTGGGTAGAGGGACCCCTGAGTGGACAGACGAGGCAGCCCCTAGAGAGTCAGAAGAAGCTGGGAGCGGCGAGTGGGCTTCTGGACGCTGGAGCGAGCCTCTCAGGGAGCCACCCCGAGGCGGGGACGATCTCAAAGTGGCAGCCAAGGAGCCCAGCCAGGGCACGGGGCCTGGCCTCCCTGAGCAGCCAGGAGGGTGCCCCACGGGGTGGGGGCGCGGGCCGGACCCTCCCGGAGGCGGAGCTCGGGGGCACGGGCAGGAATCGGCCCGCTGCCTTCCCAGTGAGCGTGAGTGCGCAGCCAGCCCGCCTTCCCGCTCGGCCCCTCCGCCCTCGGAGCAGGTGCGGCTGCGGGCGCCAGGCGCGCTTGCCCGGGGGGCCGGATAGCGGGAGATTTTCTGGGCAGCGCGCCCGCCCCGCAGCCACAGGTGCGCGCGTCCCGACCTGCCAGACCCACTGCCCTGTGCCTGGTACTAAGGGGGGGCCGGGGGACCGAGCGATGCGAGAAGCTGCCCCCCAGGGAGGGGGCGCTTTGGCCTCAAGACATCCAAGATTCACGCCAGAGGCCATCTGGGCGGGGTCGTGGGTCCCCTTCTCCAGGGGACCTCGAGGCTGGCTGAGGAGTCTTGACGGCTGGCCGGGGACAGAGGCAGTGAGGTCAGGCGTGCGGAGCTCCGAAGCGCGGGAAGGCGAGGGACCCCCCCCGGAAAGCTCACGACACCGCCGTGGAGCCGCGGGGTTAGGGTGGCACCTGTGCGGGGTGTTCCGGCGGGGGGTGGACCCCGGGACTGGGGACTGTCCCCGGCCTTGCGTCCCCCACCACCCCACACACAGACACATACACAGCCGTGTCGTTGCCTCAACTGTTTACTGTGGGGTCGGGGTGGGCGACACCGGGCGCCATCTCCGAGGGGGGCGGTGGGCGTCAAGCGCCGCGACAGTGGGCGGCGCGGAGCGACAGGAAGACGTCCGCCTTGCACTGGAAGGTGGCGCGGCCGTCGGGGAGCCGCTCGCAGCTCCGCAGGTTCGGGGCGACGTCCTTGACGCAAACGGTCTGCGGGCAGGAGGAGGCTGAGGGGGCGCCCCTGCGCCGACGCGCCCCCGCCCCCGCCGCGGTCCCTGCCCGCCCGCCCGCACTCACAGGGCTCCGCAGGCTGGGGCGATCCTCCGGGGTGGTGCCAGTCCGGCCGGAGGGCCCTGCGCCCACGGGGGGCTCGGAGCGCCGCGCGTACGGGGACCCTCGGAAGCCGGACAGCAGCCCCGCGGCGCGGCCCACCGAGTGGGCGCTGGGCCCGGCCGCCGGCTTGTACCAGGCGCGGCCGGCGGGTGCCAGCAGCAGGCTCAGCGCCAGGGCAGCAGCCAGCGTCGCCGGCCGGGCCATGGGGACTGGTCGGGGCGTCGGGCTCGGCGCTGCTGCAGCCGGGCGCCTTATATCTGCGGCGGGCGGGGCGGGGCGCGGGGGCGGCTCGGAGGGCCTGTCGGGTTGGAGGCGCCGGCGGGGGGGGGGCGGCGGGGGGCAGCGCTTGGGGGGCCCGACGCCCACATCCCCGCAGCCCACAGCGACCTCGTCTTTTTCCAGCCCCGCCTGCTGCCGGGAGGGGGCGCCCAGACCGCCTCCACCGCCGAGGTCAGGCCCGGAGGGGTCTCACAGTGGCGGCAAGTGCGGCTGCTGAACCCCTAGCCGATGAGGGCGCCCCGGCCCTGAGTCACCCCCAGAGGTACCCAGGGCTCAAGGGCGGGAGAGCCACTTGAGCACACGGGGCCGTGAAAGGGGGCTGGCCCCTGGGCCAGAGCTGCTGGGGGGCTGGGGTCTCTCTCTCCCCCAAGGGGGAGGGATGGCCCCCGGGAGGGGCAGCAGGCAGCCAGGCAGGAGCTCTGAGGACTGGACTGAGGAGTGGGTGGCCTCGGACTTGGGGCCTTCTCCGCGTCCCCTGACCCCCAAACGCCAGCCCAGGCAGCCCAGGGCTAGCCAGGGGGCAGAAGAGGTTACTGCCTGCAGTCTCGCTCACTGCGCACCTACTGTGTGCCAGCATCAGGGAGAGGATCTGCCCCTGGCCCTGGACGAAGCCACCACGAGTGGGAGAGCTGAGCTGGCAGCCGGACGGCTCACTGGGGGGCAGGGGTGGGGGGGAGGCAACAGGGGGCCCCTGTGCTGTGGGGGAGGGGCAGGGATGGGGTCCGAGCTTCCTGGGAGGCAGCAGAGGGGACTGTGCGTGTGTGCGGGGCCTGGTGGGCAGCTGTGTGTCCAGCTTGAGGGGACCCGGCAGAGTGCCGAGGCGCCTCGGGGGCAGGGACCGTGGGTGGCCCCCAGGAGGCTGGTCCCAGTGCGCACTTCCTGTCACGGGGGATAAGTCCCCAAGAAAGGGGGAGTCCAGGGGACAGGCCAGGGTGGCCCAACCCCCAGGAAGCTGCGGGCCCTCGGGGGGGGGGGGTCACCTGAGTGTCCCTGGCCGGCTGCGCCCTCCCGAGGTCCTGGCAGCCCCACAGCCTCCGATGCACTGGAGATGAAGAGGCTCCAAGCTGAGGGGCTGACCAGGGCCCGAGAGGGTGCCGGGCGGGCCGCCAGCCCTCACCTGGCCGCTGGCACTGGCCCTCAGGCTCACTCAGGCGCCCTGCTCCCACCCCCAAGTGTCCCCAAGACAACGGCCGGGTGCTGGCGAGGGGCGCTGGACCTTGGGGCTCAGGGAGTCGTGGCGCCCAGCGCCGCTTCTCCTGAGAAAACTCCCGCCCCCCCCCCCCCGCACAACTTGAGGCCGACAGGAGTGCTGCAGGGGCGCAGGGCAGCCCCTGGGGCGGCGGCGCTGAGGACGGACTGAAGGAGAGCGCGTCACGGGGCTCCCTGCAGCTCCTGGGGACACTCTGCCACCACCGTCGCCTCCCGGGAACTGCCCCAAACTCCTGGGGCTGCGACCACGGACCCCCACGAGCCGCCCCACAGCTGCCCTGCCTCGGTGGGGGAGGCCCTCTGACACCGGGGACAGAGCCTTATGCCAAGGACACGGGTCCCGATGCTGAGTGAGTCAGGGCCTTGGCGGGGAGCCGGATTTCTGATGAGCGAGGGAGACGGGCCGACACGCTGCGGGCTCCTCGCAGCCCCCGCGCCCGCATCGCTCTGGGACGGCCCTTGGCAGGGGGCGGCGCGGCCGCGGCGGCCAGCTGTGCCCGGCGAGGGCCCCGCAAACGAGCCCGGCCTCCGTCGGGCGAGAGGCTGGCCGACGGGCCACAGGCCCCTGCACCGAGGGTCGTTCGCCCCCGACCCCCGCGGGCGGGAATGCAGCCCAGGGCCTTTGCGCCCCGGCCCGGCGGCCCCCACGCTCCGGCGCCTCCCGGGCTCATGACTCAAGGCCTAGGCAGCGCTGCCATGTTTATTCATGAGAGTTCTCATATCCGCGCACGCCCGCGGCCACATCAGCGCCAAGAACACAGGCAACCGGAGGCCTCCAGCAAGGCTCAGGCGGTGTAATGAGTTTTACTTATTGGATAAACGCGTCAACGTCGTGACAGAGGGAACAACACAGCCGCGGTCCTCGTCTGGCCCGCCGCGGCCCCGGCGGCCGGCTCACTCCTTGAACTTCCACTCCTGGCGGCACATGGGGCAGTGCTGCTGCACCTGCTGCGCGTTCAGCCACTTGAGGATGCAGTGCATGTGGAAGCAGTGGGAGCACTGGCCCCACACCAGCGGGCAGTCGTCGCCCGGCACCTTGCCTGCGCGGGGACAGGAGAGGGCGCGGGTCACGCGGAGCCCGCGGAAAGGCAGGCTGGCCGGGGCAGGGACCCAGGACGTCAGGCGTCGGCGCCCAGGGCAGCCAGGGCCTCTCAGAGAAGACAGGTTCGGGAGCGTCAGGATGGGCTCTGCGGCAGGGCCACCCCGTGGGAAGGTCCGCGGGAGCCCCGCCCGGTGAAAGCCGCGGTGTCAGGGAGAGCGCTGGCCCGGCCCCCGGCCCCCGGCAGATGCGGTGCAGCTCAGACTCTTGACTTGGAACGCCGGGTGCAACATGACTGCGTCTCACAGCTGAGTAGGAGCCACTCCTCTGGCTAAGAGCAAAAGGCGGGGGCCCTGGGACCTCGAAGTTTCCCTCCCCAGGCAGCAGGGACCCAGTGCAATACCTGGGAGTGGGCTGGGGACACTGGTGTTTAAGGCCTGGCCTGCCACAGGCTGGGAGTGACCGTGGTGCTACCTTCCACCTCCTCCATTCATAGCCCTGAAAGGGTCCCATCTCCAAGGCCAGGGCACAAGCTGCTGGCCCTCCACGCCACACCCCTTCAGGCGCCACCTACGTGGGGAGGGCCTGGAGCGGAGAGGATGTGCCACACTGCCCGAGACCGAGAAAAGAAGAACCGTGTGACCCCAGACCCTAGGAGGAGCAGCCACAGCGCACAAGGGCCTCCCCCCCGGTACCTTCCCCCCACACCCCTGCCTGGGGGTCCTCTGTGCCCAGCGAGCACTAGTTGCGTCCACCTGTCACTGGCACACCAATGCGAGGGACCACACAGACGAGCCCGGCCGGCTGAACAGGGGACATGTTCTCCAGGTAGGGGCTCCATTCGCAGCAAGCGTTCTAAATACAGGGGACAGAAACTGCCTTTGGACCCCTGTGCCCATGGGGCCAGGCCTGGTCACCTGTGGTCCTGGCCCTCATTCTTGACACCAAACGCGGGGATGCACGATTCTGCAATGTGTTACTGCAGGAACACGTGTGCTGACCAGCTCACGATGCTACGAAACCGCACTTGGCGTCTCCCTGTGCAGAGCCAGGAGCCAGAGGCTGCCCGCGCTCGCCTCACCCCCCCCCCCGCCCCCGCCGCCCTACTGCTCTGCGGGGAGGCGGCCGGGCCAGGTCGCCAGTGTAGGCACCACGGGACACCCAGCTGTCCTGGTCGGGAGGCCAGAAGGCCACAAGGCCACAGCTTTACCTTATTTACATCCTTGGGGCAGTGTTTCCTAACCTTAAAAAAAAAAAAATCCTTTCTCTATGACCCTGGCTAAGTAATTCAGTTGGTTAGAGCGTCGTCCCCATGTGCCAAGGTCGTGAATCCCTGGTCTAGAAATGTACAAAAAACAACCAACTGATGAAAAAATAAGAGGGACGGTCCAGCGGTCAGAGTGCACACCCGCCACGCCGCCGCCCACACCATCCAAAACCCTCCGGAGCACTTCTCTCTCCAGAAGGCGACGGGCAGATCTGCGGCTAGAAGTTCCCAGTACTTGCCCCGGGGCTCCTCCCACGCTCGCACACCCCAGCCCCTGCCTACCCTCGGGAAACTCAATTTAAAACAGATTAAATAAAACTGCGAGCTGTGCTGCTCCCACTGCGAAAAGCCAGATCAAACAGACCCACGCAGTGGCTCCTAAGGTTTCTGGGCGCACCCGGAGGGCCGCGCTCCTGGGGGTGCAGAGGCTCCTTCCCAGCCCAGGGAAGAAACAGCATTTGCGCTGAAACCCCGCGGTTTGCGCCTCCCAGCAAGGCGCTAAGCCCTGTTACTCTGGGCACTTGCCCAGCCCCCAAAGACTCCGGGTCCCAGGGCAGGGCCGGGCACCTCAGGAGCCCCCTGGCCCCAAGGCAAAGCCCCGGCTGGGCCTTGTTTCTGCTTTATGTTCGCTTGGGTCTGAGGAAGAACTCAACTCACTGCTGCAAGACCTGATTTTTGGCCCAAGGACACAAGGAAATATTTCTACCATGCAGAACACACTGGGGACAAAGGAGCCGCAAAGAAGATACCCCACAAAACCTGGTGGAAGGCGCCGCGCAAAGTAACCCAAGCCTCAGCTTCTTAGATGAGTCAGTCCGAGGTCGGAACAAGGGAGAGGCGGCGGCAGGGCAATGGGATGGGCAGCCCTGGCTCAGCCCACCCAAGAGCCACAAGACACGCGGACGGCTGGAGGGATGGAACCAGGCAGGGGGGCGGCGGCGGCGCGGGGCCGCTTTCCGACACTGGGCCAAGTTAGGGGCGTGGGTGCAGCGGGGCGCCCCTTTATTTAAAACGCTTCCGCAAAACCAGGAAGCACAGAAAAATTCCTCCTTCTGACCCTGTGCTGGGGGGCGGGGGGCGTTGTTCTTATACAATTCTACTTTCTTGTTCGAGAATTTTCAAATAACGAGTCATCACGTTCTTCGCCCTACGTGGTTCCCAGCCCAGTCTGATGACGACAAAAGGCTGCACTTTTTCTTACAAAACTTTTGATGGCGTCTTTATGTACGTGGGGACCCACACCTCCTACCATTTTTCTGCTAATTTTGCATGAGGAAAAGGGACACCAGGACCTAAGGGTTTGGGCAGGCGTTGCTGGGGAGCCGCCTCGGCCGGGCGAGCACGGGGGCACTCACAGTCCGGGCAGCAGCCATTGAAGGCCATCCGGCAGATGCCGCAGTTCTCGTCGTT